CGTGCACAGCCAAATAAAAAGCCATAAAATTATGAACCGAATGTGAAACGGGAATGAAAAGATACACTGAAAAGAAAGCGACGCAATCGAGTTTGTTGTTACCAAGGGTGGTACCAGAGCGGAGAGAGGGGCATACATAAGTATATTGCTGTCTTATGCAATGGGCCCTGCTTTCGGCTTAGGCAAACGTGCTTCGCTCCGGCGGCCATTTAATTTCAAAATATATAATATGCTCTGCAATTTTCAACGCTCTGGCACGCTTCTTTCGAAAATTTTGGTGACGATCAACTGGGCTCCAATTGCATAATCCGCTTCAAATTAAATGACAAAATAAGCAGCCAACCATAAGCACAAGTTTTCCGCAATCCCAACAAATCGCAGATCTTAAAGCGCACGATTATGGATCGTTAAGAGCTTTCATCATTGGCAACCTCTGTCGAAGTAATCAAGTTTTCTGTACAAATATCTTTAGAAATATATCGTAAAAGCAATTTTAGCTGGTGGCCAAAGCAACTGCTCTGATAAAAGGGTCTGAAGGAACTAAGAAAACAAAAAACCAGAAGAAAGAATGCCATTTTCCGATCAATTGTTTTTAGAGATAGGAGCTGTTTCTAGAGCTATGTTAATACTAGTATGGTTTAATAGGGTTCTGCAGACTTGTAAGAAGAATTATAAAGTTCACGGCTAAATTTGGTCAAGATATCTTAAGAAACATAAAAGTTTTCCATATAAAAACTTTTTTATGTTAGATTTTTCCTAAAGAGCTATATAATAGTATATGGTAGTCAGATGTGTATGGCTTTTGCTTTATTGTATACGCCAAGATATCTTAAAAAACAACGAAAATTCGTCATAAGAAAACTCAAGGAACGGGCAATCCTAAGGCAGCTCTATATGATATAGTACTCCGATCTGGCCGATACCCATACAAAGTTTCATAAACAAAGTTTTAAGACTCGAGAGACTGGTTGGCATTAAAATAGACAGACGGACAGATTCTATGCCGAACGGTTGCTGATACTGATTAAGAATATATATGCTTAATAGAATGTGGAGATTTCTTGGAAAAATATAATACCATTTAAAGAATATCAAATTGCAAAGTTATCTTAGATATATTACTTACTCATGAAGTTCTTTTACTCTGGCAGCATCTCTCGGTTCACGGCGATGCCTCACACATTGAATCCGCCGCACTGCCACTGGAACACAGAGCGGGCTACGGACCGCCAGCGCCATCGCCCATTTATGGAGCACCACAAGGCCCGCTGAGCACTGGCGCCACCAATGATCTGTCCGAGGAGGCCTGGCCGCTGGCCAGCACCAATGACAGTCCTCAGATCAAGCATCTGCAGGTGCAGTGCGAGAAGACGCACATGCGGGTGAACATTGAGTTCGATAGGCCCTTCTATGGCATGATCTTCTCCAAGGGTTTCTACAGCGAATCCCACTGCGTGCACATGCAGCCGGGCACTGGCCATTTGAGCGCCACTTTTGAGATCTTCCTGAACAGTTGCGGCATGAGCAGCTCGGCCAATCATAATGCGGCTGGTTATGGTGCACCGACGCCCTCGGGCAGCTATGTGGAGAACACGATCATTATTCAGTACGATCCGTATGTGCAGGAGGTGTGGGATCAGGCACGCAAGCTGCGCTGCACCTGGTACGACTTCTACGAGAAGGCTGTCACCTTCAGGCCCTTCCAGGTGGACATGTTGCATGCGGTAACAGCCAACTTCTTGGGTGATAATCTTCAGTGCTGGATGCAGATTCAGGTGGGCAAGGGCCCATGGGCCTCCGAGGTGTCGGGCATTGTGAAGATCGGGCAGACCATGACCATGGTGCTGGCCATCAAGGATGACGAAAACAAGTTCGATATGCTGGTGCGCAACTGTGTCGCCCATGACGGCAAACGTGCTCCCATTCAGCTGGTGGACCAAAACGGCTGTGTTGTCCGACCCAAGATCATGAGCAAATTCCAGAAGATCAAGAACTTTGGTCCTTCTGCATCAGTGGTCAGCTTTGCTTACTTCCAGGCCTTTAAATTCCCCGACTCGATGAACGTGCACTTCCAGTGTGTGATCCAGGTGTGCCGCTACAATTGCCCAGAGCCCAAGTGCGGTCCCGGCCTGCCTGGCGGTGAATATGGTCTGCCCCAGATAGGCGGCAATGCGCTCTCCGAGGAATACGGTCCACCAGAGGCCTACGAACGCAACGATTTCCCATTGGGTGGCCTCCCACCAGCAGCTTACCCCGATCCACGTCATCCTGCTGATGCCAGCGGCGCCTACTCCGAGAATCAGCCCGATGTTGTGCCCTCGCCACAGGCGCAAACCTCAGCCGTAACCACAGCCGAGTCGGCAGCCAATGCGGGCAGCGGTCCGGCCAGTTCACAGGCGCCACAACCGCAGCAGGGCAATGGCAACAGCAACGAACTGGGTCTGCCGCCACCACCGCTGCCTGGCCAGCCCGGTCTATATAGCACCGTGAAGCGCAAGGATGACCTGAGCGCTGGTGGCAATCTGGTTTCGCTGGGCGGCCGTCCACGCTCCGTCGAGGGTCTGGATGATTTGCGCGGCGTGCGCCGGCGTCGCGACACCATGGAGATTGTGGTGAAGCCACGCATCTACAAACGCAACGCACAGGAAATGACCGACGTGAACACGAGTCGCATCATACAGGTGGTGGCGCCCGGCGATGTCAACTTTGCGCTGAACAGCAATGCCAGCAATGAGACGGTCGTCATACAGTCGGCGCGCTCCGCCGATGCCGAGACCATTTGCATGTCCGTGCCCAGCTTTGTGGGCGGCCTGGTGATGCTGCTGCTCGTCCTCGCTGTGGCCTCTCTAGTCGCCGCCTTCCTCTTTGTGCGCGTGCGCCACTTCGATCGCAAGGGCGCGGGCATGGCCTATGTCAACTAAGTAGAAGGCAACACACACACACACACACGCACACGCACACACACACTAGGTATCCACGGCACCATCATCAGCACGGCGTGAACAGAAAACCAAATCAGTTTTATGTGCACTTATCTTCATCCCGTCACCTCACACTAACTATTTACTTATTTATTATTTAACTTAAACTATTTATTATTTTTTTCTTTGATTATCGAACTATTGAGTTTTTCCTTTTCCAAGCGCTCGCTGCGTATTCGTATGGCAAGGTTGCCTTATCTGCATAATTCTTTAGTTATTAACGAAGAGGTCGAAACGAAAATAAACGAAATTGTGACGTCATTTCTCTCATTGTCAGATTTGTTAAGTTTCAGTTATACATAAATAATTTAAAGCTATCTAAATTACGCGTTTAAATGTTATCATAAAAGGCACAGCGGCAAAATGGAAATGCTGAAAATCGTTTAAAATAAGTTAATATAGCAGATGTATATATTAAATTATTTATTTATTACTTTATCTGATAGCTGCGAAATAATAAAAAGTTTACTTTTATTAAACACTGTGTTTTGTTGTTGTTGGGGCGGAGATTGGTTACAGGCAAAGGTGCAGTCAGCTATTTTTCAGATTAATTCCGACATTTTCAGGAAACTAAAATTTTAACGGTATTCAGCCAGCTTGAAAATGAGATTTACCTTCTTTTTTTTGAAGCGACAGTTGGGCAACTCCAGCGTAGGCGGAGCAGGTTGGAGTACCCTGTAGCAAAGTTCAAACACAGAGTTCTTGTGTATATCGAATTAAGATAATCGAAAATGTATATTTTATGAAAATAGAACTTGACTTTACTTATTTATTTACGAACACATAAATATTTACATTTCTCTTTGTCTCTTTGTACCTAAAAACTGTTATACATTGCCAAAAATCAACTAGCATACAATCAAATTCATTTATGCACGAATCTACAATAGTCGCCTGAGCTTGTTAGTGTCCGTTGGGACTTTCAATACAAAAGATTTGTTTGAATAATTGTCTATGAATACGTTAACTAAACGAAATAGCACTCAAAAAGTAACAAATTGTAACAACTGTTGGGGACGAACGCCTACGCAGCGCGTGCATCGTTTATTGTGGCCGGCACTTGCACCTCGAGGCCGTCCATTTCCTTGGTCAGCGTTATTTGGCAGCCCAGACGTGAGGTGTCCGTCAAATCGTAGGCCAGATCCAACATGTCGAGTTCTTCATCGCCGGGCTTATCGGGCAACTTCTCGTAGTCGGGAACTTTGAAAATAAGATGGCAAGTGGAACAGGTCAGGGTGCCTTCGCAGGCGCCAAAGCCGTCAAGATCCACATTGTTGTTCACCACAACGTCTAGCAGCGAGTCACCCACTTTGCCGGAAGACTTAATCCTCTCGCCGCTCGCTCTTACAAAGGTCACATTCACACTGCAACCAACAATAAACAATTCATTAGTTTTCCCTCGGGCGTGTTTGTTTAATTAATATCACTTACACATCTTGTTGCCTAAGTGCCAGACCCAGCGAGAAAGTGCGCGAGAAATTTGATGGTCCAGTTGTGCTGGTCAAACTATTTCGTAGCCAAGCGTTACGCAGCGCCAGCCTCGCTGAATTCCTGATTGTGTTGATGACTAGCATTTTTTTTTTGCAAAACCTTGATTCTATCTAATCAGTTTACACACAAGCACCCGCGCTTCCCCCGTGGTTCGGGTATATCTTCGACTTAATAAAATTGTAAAAGAGGCAATTAGCAGCGCGTATACGTAGTACACGCAACAGCTCTCTACTGTAAATAATTGAGGGAATTGAATAGCTGACAGGTGGAGTCAAAGTCATATGGGCATGGCAGAGTTGCCAGACCGTTGTGATCTGTGCTGCCCAGGCTGACAGCGATGAGCCGCTAAAATAAACTTTTCAAATGCTTATAGGCTTGTTTACGAACTTTCATAGTTAAATGTTTTGTGAGATCATTACTGTTACTGACACAAGATTTTAAAACAGCAATATACCTAATATTTGTATAGTCTTCTAGATGCACTTAAAATGTTTAAAGCACAATTTCATGTCGATCTGGCAGTCTTAAAGCAGGCATAACAGTTGAAGATATCGAATCTTTACGTTATCGATAGCTTATTGGATTTATTTACCTTTTGTTGAAGCATGGCGAGTTTTTGTTTTTGGAACGAATTTGAATTAAAAAAGCCACCATTGGTAACTTTACATGTAAATGATACTGGATTTGGTAAGCTTAAGTGAATTTTATAGTTTCTGAGCACTTTTACTAAGTCTCAATCTTCACACAGCAAAGAATGTCTTTGTGGTCATTAACCGATACTTGAACCAGTTATCCGGCCCAGACTACTTGGAGTTCAATCAGACAGCCGCTTTGATAGGACGTCTTATGGCACGTCGAAAGAACTCTTTTCGCGGCATGCCAGGATTTCGTGCTGTATGCAAGCTAAATGCGGCCCTCTGCCGGCTACTGCGTCTGGATCTGCCGCGTGAATTGGAACATTTTCGCGGCGCCTTGCCCGATGCGTGCGATGAGGAGCTGTCTGGCGAAATGCCCACACAAAACAGTCTTGAATTCATCCTGGTGCGTTTGATAGCTTTCCATCGTTTGCATGAACGGATTCGCGAGTGCTGCGAGGCGACCGTCAAATACTTTGGACAAATGATACGCAGCAATTTCTTCATGGAGTTCCTGACACTGCTCATAGCAGCCGTAGCCAAAATAAACAAGCTAAGCCTACAGCAGGCCAACAATTGTGCCACGCTGTACAACAAGCTACAACCTCAGCTCACCAACTTTCCGCTAGTGGAAAAGCATAAATTTATACCCGAGAACTGTAATCTTCCAACGCAGCTGCGTCTGATAAAAGAAAGCCAGCCGGTAGTGCCAGCCGAAGAGGCGATTTCTGCAAGCATCACACTTCAGACACAACTCCCGCCATTGGTTACGAAAGTAGAAAAGGCAAAAAAATTGGCCAAAGCGGATGTGGGCACTGTAGTTGCTCGTAAATCTCCAATAGCTGCACCGACGCAGACAATCTTCCACCTAGACTCGCTGGCCACCGTGGAGGATGTCAAGCATTTTATTGTGCGCGAGTCAAAGGCGCGAAAAAAGACGCCGGACAGCTGTTTGACGAAAGCAATACAAAATCACGAGTGGCTGGCGGCAACAACGCTTTTTCAGCGCAAATTGCAAGCCCGGGAGCAAACAAAAGCATTGAACATGTTTCGCAAATATATTGATAGCAAAATATAACAAGAGAAATTACATGTATGTAGATGCTGACTTACAGATCCGACACCATTCCTTCGGCGAGCTGCATACGCTTTAGTCCCACGATGTGCCGCTGCGAGTGCGCGTTACTTTTCTGCAAAGGCAAAGAATTGATCACTAAACTAGCTGTGATTCTGATAGAACAAGTAATGAGTACCTTGGCAAACTTCTTAAAATTCTTCCGAGCGCTGTATTTATTTTCAGTAGTATTAGACGCATCCGTTTCATCGGCGCCGCGGACAGAGATGCTCATGTTGCACATGCGCACTTGTATGCTATCCTTGATGCTTGCTAACCATTTGAGGTGCTCGAGTTTCTCTTTGTCATCCTTAGTTTCCTCTTTAACAGTGTCCGCATTCATTTGTGATATATCTGGATCCGGTTTTGGTTCCGTCTTGACTTCTTCATGTAGCCCGCTACACGATAGCCAGGCACTTATATTTACTTTGCGAGGTCGTTCCTTTGGTTTAGGCACAATATACTTAGATTTTATTTTCGTTTCGGGCACAAATGGCTCTGTGCAAACTGAATCCTGATCGTCGTCGCTTTCAGATTTGCTGTGCTCTTGCTGAGTACGTCCTTTAAAATTGAACAAGTCCTCATCATTGGAATCATTGTCTGATCTGCTCGAGCCATTTGTCCGCTTTAATTTCTTGGCTCCGGCAAACTGGAACAGATTTTCATTGTCATCGCTGTCGCTCTCGTTTATCTGCTGCAGGCGCACACGCTTGCGAGGCTGAGATGCAGTGGGCCCAGCATTTTGAGATGCGACATGATTTTGTGATTTTTCCAGAAAATTTCGCACACTAATTCTGGCTGGTTTATTGACCTTTGGTCTAGCCACAGATTTCTTAGACAGCACGCTGTTGGACTCAATATTAACTTCAGTCGGCCTGAAGGGTGCACGTTCCATAGAAGCTGAATCCTGCGTTTTGAATTGAAATAACCCCTCATCCTGCTCACTATCATCGTCACTCTGGGCTATACTCAATATAACCTTTCCTGCAGTCTGTTTACCACGCGGTGAACGTCTGGGCGATGCAGGCGCTTTCGTCTGAACCACAATTTGCTCAACTTGGGGGTGGGAGCGAGTTGAGCGCCTAGCTGCATTAGTTGCAGGCTGTTTTTGTGGTATATCATTTGTTTTTTTCTTTACCAATTGACAGTCGTCAACTAGATCCTCTTCATTAGACAGTGCATCTGGTTTTGCAACATTCTCTTGAGCCGCTCTATTAGCAGAGCTGTTCTCAGTCGAAGTTTTAGTTCTTTTCCTTAATTGATGTGGTTCGGGCTGAACTTCATCTGAGGAATCGACAAGACGATCAATTTTCCGCTTCGACCCATTTTCAATCAACGCCTTAGGTTTCTTAGTTTGCTCCTCGATCACCTCCACGTCCTCATCAGAAGAATCCAAGTATATGGCATTCTTCTGTCTACTGTGTAGCTTAGTTTTTGATTGTTTTGGTGCTGGATTGGGCTGGGGCTCCGATTCCTGTTTTTCACTCCCTACGCTGAGTGCATATATTTCCGACTTTTGGGATTCAGCGACAACAAACTCAGATGCATTGTTCTGTTTACAATGTTCTGTTTGAGTACGCTCTGTATTGGGGACTAAGATTGATGAATCCATGGATTCAGTTGTAGCCAATGAGTTTTCAGTTATCTTGTGCGACGGATTACAAAACTTGTCCATGGAGCAGTGCAAAATGGCTAATCCAATTTCGTAATCTGGTATTGGGCGCAGTCCTGCCTGCTCCAGAATACCTTAAATATTTAATTTGATTAAAAAAACCAAGTTTCAATCCAAATTTGTAAAGTAAACACACCTTGAACACTGAAAATAGTTTCTGTTGCTTGCGATTGAGTCGAGGCCACATATTGTATGACCACAACATTGGGTTTCGTCAGAAATGGCTTCCGCACGCCGGAGTTGAGATCCTTGCAGGCGCCGCTTGCTTTCTGCACCACCGGGCCGTACATCTCCAGATGCTTGCGATTCATGAATACAAACGTTTTGCCTGCAAACAGTTTTGTGCGCTCTGGACGCCACTTAATGCTGGGCATATCTGCCGGCTGAACTGGCGCAAAATTTTCTGGCCTTGGCCAATCTTCGGAGACGTGAAGCCGGCGGGCTAACTTAAGCAGCTCCCGCCAGAACTCAACTCGGACTATGGGTTTATTCTGCAGCAAAGCATGCAGAAGCTTAACTGTGATCGTGACCGTGTCCATGGTTAAATGCGAGCACTCATCTGTCCAAGAAGGCAAGATAGTACCATTTAGAGGACTTATGAGCTGATTCAATTCCAGAAGTTCTTCGCGGCTCAATGCCGATGCGGTTGTCATTAGCTTTAGCTGCGACAGCTGCCAGACGTTCTCCAGTGCGCCAAAACGAACCTTATCTCCAATCTGGATTGGAGTTGGCGTGTTGGCACTCATCTTTCTGTTACGCCTAATGTCATCGTTGATAAATGTTCCGTACCTTGAGCCCAGGTCTTCCACAGTGAGCGCCGCCGCTGATCCAGCGCTGGGAAGGCACAGGCGTACATGAGTGCGACTGATGCTGAGGTCTTTAGCTAAAATGAAATCCGTCGACAAGCGTCCGATTGTGTACGTCGCTTTGGATGGAATTAAAATGAATTTTTCCTTATCTGCAACATATAGCTTGGTTTATGCATAAAATATAAATGAGTTTTTATTTGTTTACAGACCACTATCTACTTTAGTCAAAACAAACATATTTTAAACAACTTAAACAACAATTTCACAATCAACGAGTAACAGAACCATCTGACGGAATCCTGTTGAGTTAACAGCTCTGTTAAGAGTGTCAGCGTTAGTTCTTCTAAGTACGCAAATTTTTGCAGAAAACAGCAATCAAAGCAAACAATTCATACAGCAACAGTTTCACAAGCAACGCCTAACAGAACCATCTGACGGAATCCTGTTGAGTTAACAGCTCTGTTAAGAGTCTCAGCATTAGTTTTTCTAAGCAGACAATTAATGCAGAAAAAAACATAGAAGCAGTTATAAATAAGTTAAGCAACAATTAAATTTTTCATAAGCTACACATATTTGGTTTTTAATATTTCAACATAAATAATAATTGATCATGTTAGTACGAGCTGCGTACCCGGCATTTCGTTTACAGCTGAATGGCAACCGGTAGCCTGCATCAGTTTTGTATATTGGATTTGTTTATTGTTTTCATATCGTGGAACAATATTTATTTTTAAAGTCAATGTAACTATATAAAATAGCGCAAAATGGCACATTTAACGGGCACACGGGTCAGCATGTTTAACGAGTCCTTCCTGAACGACAATGAGCACGATTCAAATGCCGTGCTCATGGAGCTGGATAAGGGCCTCCGCAGTGCAAAGCAGGGAATACAATGTGAGGCGATTGTGCGTTTTCCGAGACTCTTTGAGAAGTATCCCTTTCCCATACTGATCAACTCGTCATTCATCAAACTGGCCGAGTTCTTTGTCAGCGGCTCAAATCTGCTGCGTTTCTGGGTGCTGCGCGTGTGCCAGCAGAGCGAGAATCATCTGGACAAGATACTCAACATTGACAACTTTGTGCGCCGCATTTTTATGGTGATGCATTCAAATGATCCGGTGGCGCGTGCTCTGCTGCTCCGCACCCTGGGCGCCGTCTCTCGTGTAATACCAGAGAAGCCACAGGTGCATCATGCAATACGTCGTGCACTCGACAGCCACGACACCGTCGAGGTGGAGGCCGCCATCTATGCCAGCAGCTGCTTTGCCGCCCAATCGAGCTCCTTTGCCATCAGCATGTGTGCGAAAATCTCGGACATGATTGAATCACTGCAGGTGCCGGTGCCCATGAAACTGCTGCTCATCCCGGTGCTGCGGCACATGCACCACGATGCCAATACGGCGGCATTGGTCAGCAAGCTGTGCCTGGAGCTGTTGCCCAAGTATCCCGCCCAGAGCTTTGTGGTGGCCATCATTAATACACTCACACAATTGTCATCGCGTACGCTGGTGGGCGTGCCGGGCCAGCTGAATGTGCTGCTCGATTTTATGCAGGATTTGCGAACGCCCGTACGCATCCAGGTTCTACGCTCATTCAATGAGCTGGCCGGCAAGCAGAGCGTGAATGCCTGGCCCAAGTCTGCCATTGGTGCTCTCATCGCCAAATTTAATCTCTGCACGAATGGCGCTGAACAGTTCCTGTTCCTCTCCATACTCCTGAAGCTGAGCGAGTGCCCACTGACCTGCCAGCATCTGCTGAGCGAGCATCGCGACGCCTTACTGCGTCTTTGCAACGAGTGCATCAGCAAATTGGACGACTACACCACAGCGACACAGGCAATGGCTGTGCTGGCTGCTTTGGTGGCCTTTGGTCTCAAGAAGCAGGACGCACAGGTTGATATTATACTTGAAATGGTGGACTTGCACATGGAGGGCCTTTTGTTTTGTACGTCGCGTCGGGCGGAGTTCAATCGAGATCTGAGACGTTTGCTTGCCTATGGCATACGCATAACCCAGGCGAATGCAGAATTCGGAGCCGACTTCATCGAGATGGTAACGAATACCCTAGGCGACAATGTTGATTATCCGCCCGATAATCTACAGCTCATTTGCGAAGCGGCTGTCGGACTCTGTGAGCACTTCCAGCTGCGCAAGTACGCATTCTCCACGGCCGAAGGTCTCGAAGACGATACGGCTATGGAAACTGACGAGCCTGCGCCACCCAAGGTAATGTTGCTGCCATATCCAAAAACCAAATAACTCACTTATATTCCCACTTTCAGCCGAATCCGATGCTAGCGCGATTGCCGCTAATTCTGTACAAGCTGAACAAATTGGTGGACAGCGAAGAGCAGCCGGAGCAGCTGCTGCGCACAGTGGAAATACTCAGCGCTCTTGTCTTCCAAACGACCATGGGCTGTTATCTGACGCAGGAAGTGGTTCACTGCTTCGAGAAATGCATCGAACGCGTCAACTGTTGGACTCTGTATCGTATAGCGCGCACGGCGAGCCGGTATGGACACCATTACGTGGCGGCGCACATCTATACGAAGGTCTCGCAGATTGTCATCAGCGATCACATGCACTATTTTTTGGTATCCCTAGCGCAGATCTCGCAGGCCGAGTGCATACTTAACTATGGCCGAGAATATGCCTACATGCGCGATAATTATGCGCCCGCCGAGGCGCCGGAGCCATTGTTGCCGCTGATGAGGCGCCTGGAGGCGGCGAGCAATCTGTATCAACAGGCGCTGGCCAGCATGCGTGCCTGCTCCTCGCCACAACATCCGTGCAGCTTTCAGCTGGAGTATCTGAAGATACGCGCACAGTTCTTGCAGACCCTCCATCTGGCCGTGACTGTCAAGAATGCGCAGGTGATTGTGCCGCCTCCAGCGATTGCGGGCAGCCTGGCACAGAACTCACGCGACTATTTGCAAAAGTTTGGCCATGTGACGAATCAGTTGCGCAAACTGGTCAAGTCGCTGAAGGCATGCGAGGAGACTTATGCACGCCTCTACAAGTCGTCATTTGATGCGGATAATGTGACGCTCGAGTTTCTTGAGGTGGCCGAATTTCAATGCGCGCTCTTCGCCCACATTATTGAATCGATTTGTTATGCTACGCCGCCGGAACCGCCTGTCTTCCTTACCACCGGCAATCATCCGGAGACGCGCTTCTTTGCAGCCAGCTGCCAGCGCATGGAACAAATGCAGAAAAATCTGCCGCAGGAGCCACCCAACGCCAAGACCATCAGCAACAGGCATTTGGACGTGATCATTGCTTTGATCGAAATTATAACAAAGACGTCGCTCTGCCTGCCGCGCTACTTCTTCCAGATACTGCAGTCCACACAGATAAAGCTGTCGGTTAGTCCACAGCCCCGCAGTGCCACGGAACCGGTCATTGTGCAGTCGGGCAGCAATCTGGTGATTAAGGTGGAGGGCGTGCTGCAACATTTTAGCAAGCAGCAGAAACACTTCCGACGCGTCGACTCGGTGCAACTGAGTCTCACATCGCAACTGCTGACGCCACGGCCAGGCAACGAGCTGGGGAAGACGCCCAACAATGACACAGTCACGCTCAACCAAATCGTGAAGCCACAGCGTGATTTCCTTTCCGGTAGCTTCCTGCTGCCAATCTCAAGTGGCGGCCAGTTTCAGGTTACGCTGGAAACATTTGTCGTAGATGAACATGGCATAACTTGGTGCACTGGTCCGAAAAGCTCAATGGTGGTGCGAGTGCTGGACGATCCAACGAAGCCAGCTGCAGCGCCGGTGGCAAGTACTTCGCAGGCCGCAAGCCAAGCCAGGCGCTACTAAACGAAAAACAAAGAGAAACAATTACAATAAATTAAATACAAATTTATGCAATTTTAAAAGTTAGTTTTAAAATACGCGGTTTAGTTAACAGTCAGGCAGCACCGCATTGCGCTTATGTGGCATCACGGCGTCGTTTTGTGTGAATGGCAAACCAGCTGTTTCACACTTGCAATCGTGCTCTTCACAGTGAAGTTTTCACGTTAGTCGTTTGTAATAAACAATGCAAAGAAATCTAAAAAGGAAATTTTTGTAGTTTATTTACCCAAGAAATGCGGGTGTGTATAATCACAGGAGAGAAGGCTCGCACTAAATGGAGTGCATCGGCAGTAAAAGCAGCAGTTTACCTTTGATATTTGATACCATAAAACAACTGCAGCGTGCGAGAGCAAGTGGTTTTATGTGGCGAATGTGAATTTTAATTGAAATCAATTAGGCGCACCACACTCTAAATAACGCACGCAGCCCGAACTGAGCATTCAAATTTCGCCGTATCATATCACAAACGGCCGACCAAATTCCGCGCCTAACCTGTGTGGTGCACAGCCACAACCCATGGACATAATTGCCCTAATTGGAAACAACAGCAGCAGAGCAGCAGCAGCTTCGGCAGCATGCCACAATTTACGCTGTGAGTAGCACAAAAGCTGGGGTATTAAGCAGAGTCCACTGCGAGTAGGCGACCGTAGCCGATGACTATTGCTGTTGCCGGGTGCCGATGGGTGCGTTAATATAGACCTTTGTTTATCTATTGGTGTCGTGACGCGTCGTAATATTATGCAAGTGAAATCGGTTGCCGTCGCCTACTAATACATAGATCCCATGCACATAAATTAACTATAATATATATATATGTATATCTTTTGGTAATGCGGCGTCTTTTCGGTGCTGAATCAGCTACAATAAACACAATGCTCCACCCAACAACGATATCCTCACGCGCGTCGACTGCGACTGCGAGCATGTGCCGCTCTGCTCGATTAATGATGTCCAGTTAAGGTTTTTGGTGCCCGACGATTTGACGGAGGTGAGTATAGGCCACCTGTTAGCCAATGCATATTATTATAAGAATTTAATTATAATTATACTGCGACAGGTGCGCACGCTGTGCCAAGAATGGTTTCCAATCGATTATCCACTGTCCTGGTACGAAGATATTACCTCAAGTACGCGCTTCTTTGCGCTAGCCGCTGTATATAATCTGGCGATAATTGGTTTAATTGTTGCCGAAATCAAACCGTATCGAAATGTCAATAAGGAGGTAATAGCCAATATCAGTGATAGTGATGACTTTTACACCAGGCTGAGCGGTTTTCCCATGCAGGACAAAGGCATATTGCCCGACTCGATGGGTCGCACCGCGGATGTCGGCTACATATTGTCACTGGGGGTGCATCGGGCACATCGTCGGAATGGCATCGGTTCGCTGCTACTGGACGCACTGATGAACCATTTGACGACGGTAGAAAGACATGCGGTGAAGGCAATCTTCCTGCACACGCTGACCACAAATCAACCTGCCATATTTTTCTATGAGAAAAGAAGGTAACACACCTCCATTATCTCACATACATATCAATACTATCCATCAATTGGTTGCGTGTCTTTAGCTTATTAACGGCCTCTTTCTGTTTTGTTTTCAGATTTACGTTACATTCGTTTCTGCCTTACTACTACAACATAAGGGGCAAGGGCAAGGACGGTTTCACGTACGTGACCTACATAAATGGCGGTCATCCACCTTGGACATTATTATATCCTTTTTTTCACAAAATTTCTTTACTGTATAGTGACTTTAACATTTTTGTTCATTGTTTCTTTACGCTTTTGGTTGCCTTAACTCTTGTCACACAGATCACTTCAAGCACTACGCTTCCAAACTGCGTCACACAGGTAGCCTTTGCGTCTGGATGGTATCCCGCGTACAGCAAGTGGTACGCTGGTGCTACCACAAGCTGCTAACACGGTTCAATGTTATTGAATGAGCCAACGGACTGCGCCACGCCCAACCAACCTTCCGACTCGAGAGAGCAGAATGTATGTATGATAAGTGTGTTCATATGAGGATCAAACGTCATGTAATCATCGTCCTGTTGAGACCACTCATTCTAAATATTAGGCCAAATCATTTCGTTTTGTATAAAAAGAAAACACAAGGAACAAACAATGTTGAAAGTTGTAAATTAGTCTTATACATGTATTATTACGTTTTTAAATATGTATATGTTTACTGCTGTAAATAGTCGTATCATGTTTTATTTGAAATGCTGTACAAATAACGTTAGCGCAAAGGATTTTTATACGCTCTTTTTAATAATTTTTTTATTTCTTTGTATATCTATTTAGTGTTCTCTGTAGGTTTTTATTTTCTACGCACAAGACAGTCATTTTAGTTAGTTTAGCAAAAAGAAACAAACAAAGAAGCTCATGTTTAATCGCTTTATTTATGAAAACTGCACACAATAGCTTTGAGAACTGAAACAACAAACAAACAAAGTAAACGAATAATATATGCATAAACGAAATCCTACAGTCTTATAATTATCATTTTCAAAATATGTTCGCTGTCTCTATAGTATTTTGTAAAAGTATTTTAATGCAAAATGTTTCACATGCGATTCATGTTATTTTAGACACAATTTACTTAGCGAATTGTAATATTTTTTAATAAAAACTTGTAAAGTTACAAACATAAGCATTCGTGCAGTCTTCAGAGTCATTCTTTCTTTCGAAATTGTTATGATAGGCTGGTATAGAAAAGTTGGCGCGATTATTAAAAAATATAAAGAGTGACTGCAGTTGGAAATTTTGAAAATACCAAAAAATGATAGTAGAAAAATACCAGCTCTGGTATATTGAGTGTGGGGCATTCGAATGGTTCACGTTGTACGCATCTGGCAGCGCCGTAGACACATGTTTGTGAATTAATAATCGATAGTTTTGCTGCTCTATTGTGAATTGCAGGGTAGGTGAGGACCTGTACGTCAATTTAGTAGCATAAATTCGTCGAAACATCATTACAAAAATGTTCTCCAGAGCCGCACTCTTAACAGGTAAACATAAAAATAATAAAGTTAAATGTATGAATTGGCCAATAACTCCCTACTTGGCCACTGCGCGTGTGTTAGTGCAGAGAACGGCGGCCGTGAAAATTGTTACGGCACCGCAAAATCTGCCATCGTGGTTTATGTAATCACGGGCAACATTCGCGAACGAAGTGTTAAAATTGCATTTTTTGCAAATGATACTGGATACAGCAAAATAACAATATGTTTTTATTTCATTATGTTTAGCCCAGCGCCCATTGAGCTTGGTGGCCAGCCGCTCGGCAGCTGCCGCCGCCGCCCAGCCTGCCAGCGGAGCTGTTGAGCGCCGCCAGCGTCCCGAACATCCCGGCAAGGTGCGTCTGGGCTTCATTCCAGAGGAATGGTTCCAGTTCTTCTATAACAAGACTGGTGTGACTGGCCCCTACACATTCGGCGTGGGTCTGATCACCTACCTGTGCTCCAAGGAAATCTACGTGATGGAGCACGAATACTACAGCGGTCTGTCGCTCGGTATTATGGCCATTGTTGCGGTCAAGAAACTGGGTCCAGCTGTCGCTCGCTGGGCTGATGGTGAAATCGATGTGAGTGTCAAAAGAGTCGAAGGGAATATGCATCAGCATTAACTATTGTTTTTGTAGAAAATCGAAGGCGAGTGGAAGGAGGGTCGCGAGGCTGAGCTCAAGGTGCTCGCTGATGCCATTGAGGCCGAGAAGAAGGAGCAGTGGCGTGCCGATGGTGCCCTCTTGTTGATGGATGCCAAAAAGGAGAACATTGCCCTCCAGCTGGAGGCTGCTTTCCGCGAGCGTGCCATGAATGTCTACTCTGAGGTCAAGCGCCGCTTGGATTATCAAGTGGAATGCCGTCACGTTGAGCGTCGTCTCAGCCAGAAGCATATGGTCAACTGGATAGTGGCTAATGTGCTCTCCAGCGTCTCGCCCCAGCAAGAGAAGGAGACGCTAAACAAGTGCATTGGCGATTTGACTGCCTTGGCCCTGCGCGTCAAGACCCCCGCCTAAACGACTCGAGTTATAGTTTGTTAAATTGAAATTTACACACAAAATGCGAGACGCAGCCAACAAACGGAAATGTACCACATTATGTTTAAATTAATACAACATCTGTCTTGGAATAATAGGAATCTGCGCCACCAACAGGCCGTGTTTTTGCCTTCATCATTTGGAACATCAAAAATGCATTTATTCATCACACACTTATTCATCACATTTATCAGTCTTCATCTGAGCCACCATCTAAGGACCGTCCTGATTGTAGTCGCTCCTCAAACTCATCCACAACATCTTGGTGTCGATCTTTCGGCAGGGTCTGCACACAGTATTCCACAGCTGTGACCACGCACAGTGGCTTCTCGCCGCTGTAGAAGCCGGTGCCCTCGCGGACGTAGGTAACGTGCTTGGCCAGGAGCCAACGCTCCAGCTGCATGAAGCAGGCGCACTGCCAGGGATTGCCCTCAATGGCCACACGCTTCAAGTTGACCAGCGTACCATTTAGATCCGGCAGAAAGGTTAGCTTGTTGTTGTCAATGAGCAACTCCACGACGCTGCTCAGGCTCTCCAGCACAGTGGAACTGATCTCGGTCAGCTCGTTGTGACCCAAATGCAGCTTCTGCAGATGTCGCATGGGCGCAAACATGAGCACATCCAGCCGGAGCAGCTCATTGTTGCCCAGCGACAGGTATTCCACAAAGGGCAGCGAGGAGAAGGCCAGCGCATGCAGACGCTTCAGACTGTTGGCGTTCAGATTGAGTTTGCGCAGGCGCGACATTGCCCTGCTGCCAAAGGCCTTCTCGTCCAGATACTCGAGGTTGTTGTGCGACAAGTCCAGTGTGTCCAGGTCCTCAAGCGCTGCAAAGGTCTCTGGCTTGATCTCAAGTATATCGTTCGACTGCAAATACAGCTTTCGCAGCGACTGCAGTCCCGCAAAGTGTCCAGCACTTAGACTGGAGATGCTATTGTGGGATATGTCCAGCAACTGGAGCTTGCCCAGCATTCGGAATTGATTGTCAAAGAGCAGGCGTATGTTATTGCCGGACAAATCCAATTGCTGCAGCGCAACCAATTGCCCCATAGCTGAGCCAAACACCTGTGGACGCAGTGCATCCAGCTCATTGTGTGAGAGATTTAAGAAACGTAGCTGCCTCAACGGCTGAAAAGTGTCTTTGTCAATGGTCTTAAGCGCATTCTCACCCAGTTGCAGGTCCACCAGTCCAGTTAGCTCACGAAAACTTGGTGCATTTAGCTGGTAAGTTCATAAGTCAATTACTCAAAATGGGATTTACGGGAGAATGGGCTACTTATGAGCTAATTTATATATATATAAGAATTTTTGCCAGATTGATTGACTGACTGACTGACTGACTGCAACAGCAATCGATAATTTGGTCGAAATACTTGAACTATATAGAATAGATTGAAATACAAAAATTGTAGTAAAGCCGGACTTCAACATTGTTCATTTGACTCGGGCGATGCCGGGTGATTTCTTCTAGTAAGTTACTTAATGATAATGTAAATATATTTATAGAAATTATTGAGTGCATTTTTAATGCAATTTAAATGGATCTTTAATGCACGTAGATTCTCCGTACGCGATAACGTAATATCGTTAAATTAAAACAAGTTTTTATAAACCCTGCACTGATTGTTGAGCTAGAGCTAGAGATTTGATACTTGGTATGTAGGCTCTCTTTTGTATAAATATATGAACACATTTTTATAGCCTCGAAGAGAGTATTATAAATTTGTAATGATATGTGTAACGCATAGACGGAGACATCTCCGACCCCGAAAAGTAGATATATTCTTAATCGGTATCAACAGAGTTGATATAGTCATGTTCGCCTGTCCGTCTGTCTGTTTCTATGCGAAATGGTGTCTCAGTCTGAAATCTATCGTTCTGAAACTTTGCACTTAAGTCGGAACCGGCCAAATCGGACAAATATGTCTTATAGTTGCCATAGTAGAGAACGGTCGAAAAATAGATTCTTCTATATTTTCTATTTTCTTCTATATTTCAAGTTATTTTGATCAAACTCAGCATTAACGTGCTGCACTTTTCTTACATATCAGTAAAGGGGAAATGTCTAAAAGGGTATTAAATGTTCGGCACGCCGAAGATCTTCGAACTGCCATTTAAAGGCCTTAATATTCTGAATGCGTGGTTCTTAACGTGAAAAGTTCAGTAGAACTATAGAATAATAAACAGACAAGTTTTACGATACACTGAACAACAAGGATCCGGTTTCGAATGCTGGGTGAAACTTTTGCCGATAGTGTATAACTATACACTATATGGCTTATAACATAAAGATATACATATATAATAATAATAGTAGGGTACTCAAGAACCGATTGCTGGAACTGTTACTTCCACTCTAGTAGACCATACTTATTGAACGAGATTATAGCGTAAGCTACGCAGTTGTAAGAAATCAAATATAGATTAGATTCAATAGAAGCCGCGACCTTTGTGGAACCCAAAATTTATACAGCTGATGATTCGCTACACTCGTTAACAAAGCCAAAAGAGTTTATATGCTGCAGATTTGTGACTTGTGATCTAAATACTCGTATATAAGAGGCGTGGCAAATCGATAAAGGGCCATATATCTTAAGAAATATGGTTGGTGCATCTTTGAATCTATTCTTGGGCTGGGAGCGAGTATTAAGCTGTCGCTTGTTCCCGCTGCGAATTAAGCATCCCATTGTCTGCCCTGTTGGTTACTCACCTGGTCCAGCTGATTGCCGTTAAGGCTGAGCTGCTGCAAATGGGGACAACAGGCGCCGAGGCTGACATTAATCAACTGATTGTGGTCCAGCTGGAGCCGCTGCAGCATTGGCATGTGGGGCAGTTCGAGTTGCGTCAGCGCGTTGTGTGTGAAATTGGCATAAATCAAAGAGCGCAGCTTGCCAAAGAGATCCTTTGTCAGAGTTGTCAGCTGGTTGTGGCTGGCGTCGAGCAGCTGCAGCCTTGCGTTGGCGGCAAAGTGCGTGCTGAGCAGTTGCTCTAAGGCGCAGCCGCTGATGTTCAGCTGCTGCAGTTGGGGCAGCATGGAGAAGCCGGCTCGCTGCAGCTGCAGCTGCTGCACATGCGACAGATCCAAGTGCAACAAACCGGCCAAGCTCTGCGCCTCTTCAGCTGCAATGGAGATGTAGGCGCAGCTGCACAACTATTCAATCGCAGAACCTACCTGTGCCTATGCTCAGCTTTGTGTGCTCGTTTCTGATGCTCAGCCTGTGCCAGCTGTCAGTGGGAAAGGCCTTCTCATTGATCAGCTCCTGCAGGCTGCCCAGCTCGCGGCACTCAAAGCTGCGCCAGCCTTGCGCCTCGCACAACTGGGCCAACGAACGGGGCACAGCCCAGCAGAGCAGCCAGAGAACTGGCCAAGTCCGGAACTGTTTGGCATACAGCGACATTCCAGCTCGAATGCTCGATTGCTACTGAGCGCAGCTCGTCGAGCGCTCAAGCGTTGATAAGAATCCCCGACGCCGCGAAAATCCAGTTTCGCGATTAGCCGGTTCTCAGACGCATCTTGGCCCGGGCCGAGATGACTCAAGAGTTCCACTCGACACACAGTCGAGTGTGGGCCAGGCTGTAGACAAAGTGAATTCCAAAGAAAAACATTCCGCGGTAATTCTATAGATAAATAGCATCTGGCTAAGAGCTCTATTTAATAAGCTTCACATTGTTTACAATTGTTTCAGCATATAAGTATTTTGGGATAATTACGATTATTGTGCTCGACGAAGAAGAAGATTATTATATAGTTATTATCATAATATATATGCATATAACTATTTGTAGCATTATGTAAGTTCGTATACTATAATACAGTTAAATTAAGCCGAAACAAAATAATTACAGAACATACTAAAACTTAGGGCTACAAATTAAATAACATAATTAACAATTATTTAGTTGAAGTACATGAATTTAACTAGTTGCAGAGCTAAGCCATTTAATTAAATGATTATTTATTGATTTATTTATTTATTGTACATGGAGAAAAAAATGCAGGCTATTTTCTTATAGATACTGGAATCTATGCTATATAGCTATAATTTATAGTTTTATTTTCTTTTGTTTTTGTTAATTGAAATCTTAAGTTTTCTTTACTGAATTTGGTAAGACTGCAAACATGTTGAGAGTATATTGTTAGATATATGTATGTATATATATGGTTTATATATAGTTTGTTGGTATATTTAAGTGTTCTATATATATATATATATAATATATAGGTATATATATATATTATACTCATATTTAGAAGAATTTGTAGCTTATTAACTAAGCGCCTGCTGACACTTTCTTTATATATTTTCTGGTAGCGCAACTGTTGCAACTGGGTTGTGTTAGGGTATCCAAATCAGACTATAGTTACGGTTGGGCTTGTCATCTTGTTGCTGTTGTACAACGGCTGATAATGTGCGCCCGACTCCCCGCTCTGGCAGCCATTCAGGAAATGCGCCTTGACGCCATTTTGTTGCGGCGGCGGCGTCTTGTGGCAGCCGCCATTTTGTGTGGGCAACGGCTCGCCAATCAGCGTTATACGCACTGGCTTGTGGGCAGCTGTGGAAGTGGGCATGGTCGCTGTCGCGCTCGTCTCGGCCGCATCCCAACCGATGGAGGCGCGACGCGGATACGCGGCGGCGGCCAGCTGCTGATTGTAGTTGGTCAGCGTGGTGGAAATGATTGTGTGACGACGCGTCTGGCTAAGAGCACGGCAATTGTTATTGTTGTTGCTGTTGCTGTTGCTGTTGTTGTTGTTGCTGTGATTACTGCGATTGCTGCTGCGACTGCTGTGATTGCTGCTGTGGCCATTGCATGGCAACTGCTGCGGCTGATGGCGGATTATCGTGGTGGCCGCCAGCGTGGAGTCGTTGCATTGCAAGTGGAGCGTCGGAAAGTGCGTGGTATAACTGGTATATTCGGGCTTACTTCTGCGGGCGGTAGAAATAGACCATAGATTAGTAAGGGAACGCAACGAATCAAACGTTTTCATGTGCACATGCTATGAGTGTCATATTTGATTCGTTCATTACGTTAATTATATTTTGAATAGCATTTGTTTGGGTTAGATTTTTGGGTTCAGCTTTACCTGGGAACTCTATTTAATTGCCGCATGCAATTAAAATAGTTTACACACAGTGTTAAGTGTCAGGCAACAAATTTCAAATGCTTATAGCTAAGTCTCTTTAAAATTAGTTATTAACTTATGTTAGTCTACGATACGATAGGATAGTCTAGTTCGAACCCGGCTTCTTTTTTGGTATGAGTTTGGAATTAAATACATTTAGAGACTTAAATAAACTAGTCTAGGAATCGAACCTGGTTTTAGTATTAAATACAACATCAAACAGTTCGAGCTCGGATGCTCTTATAGTATTTTTTTAGTATTAAATTCAACATCAATCGGTGCAAGCCCGTTTGCTCTTTTATTATCAGTTTAGTATTAAATACAACAGCCCGAGATTTGAATCTGGTTGCTCCTTTAGTATTATTTTAGTATTAAATACGGTTAAACACATATAAACAAGTCCAGAAATCCAACCCTGATCTCTCGTAAAGTATTTGTTTCGTGTTAGCCTGAATTTTGAGCGCGGTTTTTCTTTTAGTTTAATACAGTATTAAATACTTTATGTTACGGTTCGAGCCGGGTTGCTCTTTTATTATCGGTTTAGTATTAAATACTTAAGCCAAGGTTCGAACTCGGTTGATATTTAAGTATTCATTTTAGTATTAAATACAACAGCCCGAGATTCGAACTTGGTTGACCGTTAGTATTATTTTAGTATTAAATACTAAAGTTTAAGGATTGAAATTGATTGCTCATTTAGTATTATTATAGTATATAATACAATAGTTCAACAATAGGTTTGAACTCTGTTGCTTTTTTAGTATTATTTGAGTATTATAACAACAGCCTAAAGTTCGGACTATTTCTTCCTGTTTTCTAAAACATTTTCTAGTATTAAATACATTTAAAGCCCTTCATTTACAAGCCCAAGGTTCGAACCAGGTTCTGATTAGTATTTTGTAAGCATATATTTTAGTATAATACAGTTGAGTGCTTATTTTAACATATATTTTCTTTAAACTTGGCCGGATTCAGTTGCAGTAGTTGCAATTATCCAAACAGCTATAGCTTAGGTGTAGTATACATAATAGATTGATCGCACAGAGCACTATAACGGCTAATATGAAATCACAAAATAGTACCTGTTGCTCCCCAAACTGTAGTCTATATATATGTATAGTATTCAAATAGCAGCATGTTAGGTTTCAGATAGTATTCGAGTGTGTTTGGATGATATATATATATATAGAGAGTGGTTAATCAAATGCGGCAGTTACGAATAGTTAGATAATCAGCACAGGCTACATACAAAATAAATGAGTGCAAGACGGGCTGCCGCGGCTGCTGCTATTGTGGCAGCTACTTGTTGCAGGCTGGCCAAATTAGGCCGTTGCCATTACAATTTGCGGCCATTAACGTCAACAGAGAGTAAAAAATAGTGGCCAACTGATTTGCATGTTGCCGCGAGCCAAAAAGCCAGCAGCGCATGAAACCAGCTGACACACGAGCTGCTGCAGCAGCGGCAGCGGCAGCGACAGCCACAAGCAACGTTTTGTTTTAGTTTTGTTGCAGCAACAACAGCAACAAATAATAATAATAAATAATAGCAAGAAATCAAGAATAAATCGCAGCTGAACGTTTGCCTACCTGGACAAACCCTCCGCACCAATGGCAAGTGGACGTGTCTGTGAAAGTGGAATTGGAATTGTTGATAGCTTTCGGTTAGTCAATGTTGTGCACACACACTCAAAAACACACACATATGTATATCATATATATATAGCTATAGCGATATAGCTGCTTATTACACTTACTCGCTCCGTTTGGGTGGCCATGCTAATGCGCTCCTTGTTGGCCTGATTGATGCCTGCCTCGTTGCCCGCCTGTCGCTTCTCCGCCTCCAGCTGCTCGATGAGATCTCGCTGCAGGCGTATGGTGCGATCACGATCATCCACTTGACCCTGGTTAATAGAAACACGCACACACACACACAACACACACACACAAACACACAATTGTTAGTTTTGCGCTTGAGCTTAAACAAAGGCCACTAAATTAGATATTCATGTTCACAAACTAAGCCAGAGAGTGTGTTTTTTTGTAATTTAAGACATTCACAAAAAGTTGCATAAATACAGAGTATATGCTATCCATCAATGTACACAACCAAGCTCCAAATTCCGAACAAAAAATGTTTACAAAAAAAAAATTGAGCTAAATTGCAGAGTATTTCAATTGCCAAGCATTCCAGTTGCACAAATTGCTTTGGCTACTTTTTGGGATTTTTTGCTGAGTTTTTTTTCTTTTATGGCCCGTAAAACTCAGACCTGAAAAGGTAGAAAATTATTCAGGTTTACAATTGATAATTGGGCAATTTGCAAAGAGCTGTTTCTAGTTACAAAACTGACGGGAATTGAGTTTGAGCGGAACATAATCATAGGAAGATTCCGAATGTTCATGGGAAGATTAGAATGTTCGTCTTAAAGTTGAGTTTTTTTATTTTTAAGAATAGGAATATGGCAACATTATTCTGTCTATTCATATAGCCGTAACATCTGCCCTCAATTTGTATGTAAGTAAGAGGCTTTCAACAGCATATCCTTCAAATTGTGTATCTTTTTAACTTAGTCTTCTGTTTCCAATTAAAAAGTGTTCCATTTTCAATTGTACCCATTGTACCTGTGAAATTTGCCATTCCACTTGCCTTCTTTTGTAACTAGAAACAGTTGATATATACATAAATTCGGAATTTGGAGCAAGAGTTCACAAACAACAGCTAAAAATGTTTATTTTCTTTAAATTGTTGCCTCTAAATGTAACTAGATATAAGAATAGGTGCGTGTTTTGGTATTTGTTTGAATTCTGCTAGCAATATACAAGATATAAAATATAGAATCTATAAGATACCATTTAAAATAAGCATTAATGAAGTATGTTTTGGTCTGCTTTTGTATGTTACATGCCAAAAGGAAAGTTTAAAAAAACAACAGCAATAGTATATCGATAAGAAAAGAACTCTTTAAAATTGTATTCCTGTTCGGGTGACTGCTTCGTATATATATATATATATATATAGATATATAGTTATAGTTGTTGGTAAAAAAGCGAAAGTGAGTCTTTGTTACTCTCAGACTGAGTTTTTGAGGTACGCGCGACAAAACGAGCAAACGAAATGAAAACGAACGTGCAAATACCTGAAGGTAAACCACCTGTCTACGTAGATCCGTTAGCTCCTGCAAGGGATCCTCCGTGATGGACGAGGTCAAACTGGCCAGATCGATGTCATTTAGCTGCTTGCTGTCCAGGCCGCAGGCTGCAAACAGCTGCACATTGTCGTTCTCGAAGGGATTCAGCGTTTCCGTCTGCAAGTGGAATGAAACGGAATGGAATGAATGAGACGCGTTCCACTGCAACATTTCGAACTGATTTTTGTGTTTGTGAGTTGGGAAAATCAAATGAAAATAAAAACCTACCCGCTTCGTGTCAGAATCAGCATCCTGTGCACGTGTGTGTGTGTGAGTGTTTGTGTGTGTTTGCAAAAGAAAATTGAAAATGGAAATGGAAAATGATGTGGACATGACCGAATGACTGACTGACTGGTTCACCCACCTCCTGTAGAATGCGACGTAGTCGCAGCAGCTGCTTCTTGAACTGCAGCACATCCTGGATCATGGCATTCCTGAAGGACTTGTCATATAACATCAGATCGTCCGACGAGCTATGTAGCTCCGCGTTGCCGCCCAGGCCAGATGCGCGTCTCGAGCTGGACGCCGTCGCCGTTAGCTGGTGCTGCTGCTGCTGGCGTCGCTGCAGGCTCGACGTGGACGAGGCGGTGGAGGCACGCTTGCGACTGGAGGCGCCGCTGTGCGTGGACCGCAAGCTGTTGTCCGAGTCGTTGCCCGCCGCAAGCTGCTGCTGATCCTGCAGCCGAGAGCGATTCAGCAAGCGTGTTGCACGTGCAGGCAGCTTGGCGCTGTAAGAAAAACCGAAACAGGAGCAAAGTTTAGCTTTGGGCCTTGCCAACTGGATTTAGCTGAAACCTGAGATATGTCGCATTGGCTGTGGGCGCACTGCTGGCCACACAACTGGGCACATAGTGATAATGTTGATGCTGATGATGATGATGCGGCTGTGGTTGGGGCTGGGTGTGGTGGCCAGCGCAGCTCAGCTGCTTGATGCCCAGCGGCGAACTGTTGCGCTGCCCGGCCAGAAATCTATTCTCCGAGGTCTTTAGATCCGTGCGCACACGTCGCACGCAACTGGGCGAAGCAGCTGACGAGGATGCGGCTGCACTGGAGGACATGCTGATGCGACTGGGCGCATCGAAATTGACTTTCTGTTGGTGTCAGGACGATGACGATGACACAATCCGGACATGCGCACTGCGCCAACAGCTGAGCGGAGACTCGAGTGGAGAGTTGCTGCCTTTTATACCCTTGACGAGAGTATTTAAATATTGTCACGAAATGTGCAACGCACAGAAGAAGAAGACATCACTGACACACCTTTAAGGTACAGATCGAACCACTTTATTATATGTTGGGTGGAGTGCTTGGATAAAATCCTTTCTTGGAATATCTTAACATCCTTTTATCTCTACACATAAGAAAAATCTTATCAACAATGGACTACTTTATCATAACAGGGAAATATCGGTCGTAATATAAGTTTTTGTCTGGAAAACTTTTATACATATATCTGCAAGGTCTTATCAAATCGGACTACTCTGTTATATTATAAAGCTCTCGTATGTGGCTTGTGTAGAGGGCTATTTAATCTTCTTACGTTGTAATCAATTATTTATTTAAAGCAAAGCGCTATAGTTAACTTGGCCGCAACGAAAGTGAAAAGGCATCCATTGATTAAAAGCGGGGGGTATGCCTATGCCACACCCCCCATCCCCCCTGCTGCCACACGCAGTGGGCGCCCGTCAATGGGCAATTAAGTGCGCCACCAGCATGCTGGGAAGCTGCTCCACTCGGCGGTTACGTGGTGCAAATAAATCGACGATGGAAACATGCTGTTGCTGGTGAAAGTCAACTGTTGCGTGTTGCAGTTGCTATGTAGACTAGGGATGCCAGGGAGAGGGGGTGTGAGGTCGAGGGGTGTAGTTGCTGTAGACAACAACGAGTCTTACACATGCGCATTGTTAAATATAACACGGCATAATTTATTGAAAAAAACACTATTGAATACTCGTACAACAAATGCCCCATAAATGCTCAATGAATGCCCTGAAAAAGCAGCTCACATTGGGGGCAGGGGCAACAACAACAACAGCAACAATAACAATTTTGTCTTTAAGCACAATTTTAATGGTTATTTTGTAGTTCCAGGTCGCATCACAGTCAAATAACTCAGGTCTAATGGCCAATTGGCATGCCAAAAGCAAGACAAGAATGTCGCAGTCGGGCTTAACCGACTGCTGAATACTCGCTCACAGCTAAAAACCGGCCAAAAGTTAAATTTATTTACAGATATCAGATTTTAGGAGGCTTTATTCAGTAGATTTAATTTAAAATGTGGGTACTTAAGCTTAAAACTGTGGGAGTTATATAGACTCGCAGTTTGCCCGTACCCTAGTGGGCGTGGCAAATTCTTTAAATCCATCTAATAAGAATTTTTTTTCCAACTCTTAATTCCATAAGAAAGCTAGACAAACCCAATATACTCCCTTACTAATTGTGTGAAGGAGTATTAAAATATGCAGAGCGCTATAAAAACAAATTGTTTACATTTTATTTGACTTTCACGGAGCACAAAGGAAACTTAATTAGTTTCGACTGCAAAAAACAAAGCAAAAAGCAAAAGTGCTACGTAATTGCCCAAAAAGAAAACTGGAACAAACTCAGTTAAAAGCTGGCAAAAAAAATGAAGCAAAAGATGGTTAATCTTCGTCAAACATTACATTTAATGCTTCTCCATTTCCAGTTGACTTCAAACATACTTTTGCCGAAAATTGAACTAAGTATATAAAAAACATTCTTTCAGATTTATGATTTCCATAAGTTGACAAGTATTTACAAGATGGCACTTTGAGAGCTTTAGAAAGGCAAAACTAGGTTAATTATGGTTATATAAAACGAAGAAAATCAAAAACAATGTGTGAAAAATCAATTTGAGCAAAGCCGCAGCTCATAACTCTTGAGCATAAAGGTTATTTTAAGTACTTAGTAAATTGCAAAGCTTATATTTTGTTAAAATGAAAATAAGCTTCTTAGTGGAAAGAATTGAAGAGCTATTTGTTTAAGCAAGATGAAGTCGAGATATATATTTTTATATTTATCATGATCTATTGATCTATTTCGTCTGAAACCTACCAAGCTCTCTCTCGGCTTTCCTCTCGTTCTCGCTCCTCCCTCTCTATCTCTCATAGAACAAACCTCTTTCATAGACAGCCTCTACAGAATTGAAGAGCATTTGTTTGCCCGAGATAAAGTCGCAATATATTTTTATATTCAACCTGACCTAATGATCTATTTTTTGCATAGCCTATAAAGTTCTCAGTTTCATTGCTATACTCCCTCTCGGTCTCTCCTTTCTCTTTCCTATCTCTCTCTAATGACACGAAATGTTGTACTTTAGAGTCTTAAGTTTTTCATATAAATTTGCATATTCAGTACCTTTTGCCGAAACACTTTCAGTTTGCCTAGCTACCATATGCAAATTGAACAAAGGTAAACAAAAACATTCATAATTCGCACGCTAGTTGGATTGTATATGGTATATGGCTTATGGTATAAATAAGTATATGCTTTGTATGGTACTTAAGTATGCAGAAATCAACTGTGAAATAAAAGTCTGAAATCAAAACAATGCCGAGCACTTTGCACAACTGCACCGGAAATTTCATACCTGTACAAAGATTGGATACCTGTGTGTGTGCGTGTGTGTGTGTGTGTCATGTTGAATGACAAAACGTTCGTTATTGCAACAGTTGCAGCTAATGGAGTTTGGTATTGCCGCTGCGGCGCGTCTCGCTTAAGTTGAACGATTTGCCATATAGTTGCATAGTCTTAACTGTGTGTGTGTGTGTGGAGTCGCGTATTTAGCGGAGGCCCAGTGAGGCGTCGCCAGCGGCAAGTGTCGCCGTTGGGGCCATTGTGGCAGTGGCAGTGGCAGTTGCAACCGTTAACCGACAACTGACAAGCAGCAATCAGCGAGGCAGAGGCAGAGGCTGAGGCAGAGGCGTCGCTCCATGTGGAGCCTAACGGCACTTATCAATTTGTTTAGTGAAACGTCATTTGTCATAGGCACGGAAGTGCACAAGTGTGGGGGGAGGGGGGGGGGGTTGTCAAGGGGAGTGGGAGAGAGGACACAAAGGCAGCAAAGGGCGCTTCATTAGAGACGCTGCGAAGATTGGAGACTGGCAACTGCCAACTGGCGACTGGCCGTCGTAATGTTAATAACCATAAAAAAAAACACACACACAAACCGCATACACAACATTCTCACACACACACACACGCACACACATTGGGGCAACGCAAATCTGAGCTGAGAATCCGAATCCGGTGTTGCTTTTGTTGTTGTTGCATGTATCTTGTAGCTTGTGGCTTGTATCTTGTGGCATGCCTGAAAAGTTTTGTCTGCGCAGCTTAAGATGATGATGACGATGAGGCTGGCTGGCGATGATCAACGATGACTGCCAGGTAGACAGAGGAAGAGGCGGCAATGACGACAGCGAGACAGACAAAAAGTCAGACAAACAGCCAGACAGACAGACAGACAGGTAGGCAGGTAGGTAGATTGGTAGCATAGATACACTAAGAGAAAAATCCAAATCCTATTTATTTGGTAAAGAATGCAAGTTAATTTCGTTTAAAATTATTCCCGTATAAAGTCGGAACTTGAATGAAGCACAAAATATTTATAATTGGAAAAAAGCTTTGCAATTAAAGTACAAAATATCTTAATTTGGCTGTATTTAAGACACTTATAAGTTTTGGGCATTTAAATAAATGCTTGAAAAAAATTTATATTATTTTATTTATCTTCAAAACGTGTGCCTTGGGCTGCATTTGGATAACGTTTGTCCAAGGCTGCAATCGAACCGTTTCGGTTTTAAGCCGCAACTTTAATTTTTTTCTTAACTCTAATCTCAACCGTATCAATGGCCCCCAAAAGAAGCCAAACTTTAAGCCGTGCATGTATAAAATCAGCTAAAAAGACAAACTGGCTTTATGCATTAGGAAATCCAGGTGCAAAGGCCGAACCTAAGAGCCAGACCTTGGCCCTAGCCGTTGGCATATATATCCCATACATTCATTAATATGCCATGGCTTCTGCTTGTTTTGTCAACTCCTAATTTTTTTCGCTGAGTGTAGCTGTTTCCGTAAATGTATCTGTATTTGCACTCAATGGCATTTTGTGGTCAACGGTCTCACATTCTGTTGAATTATGCATGTCTAAAGCTGAGACCTCTCTCTCTGTCTCTCTAAGTACCCAGCCAGCGCGCTTAGAAGCCCATCGCATTCCCCCACAGATGGATGGCAAGAACGTTAACAGCTCAGGGCCAACGTGCCACAAAAGGCAGCAACTGCAACTGCCACAGCAATTGCAACTGAACTTGAAGCGTCAACGGCTTTAGGCCCATAAATGGATCTCAGTTTACTTTGCCAACACTTGCAGCTGATTATATTTCCCTCTCTACTCTTCATTATGCTTTTGTAATGGGGTATTTTAAATTTGTCACGCAATGCGTAATGCATAGCAGCAGACGTCGTTGATCCCATTAGGCATATCTATATGTGCAATCAGTATCAAGAGCCGAGTCGATATAGACATGTCCGTCTTTCCGTTACTATGCATAGGCCTTTGTCTGGGTTCAGATCGAAGAACTATATCATATAGTTATCATAGGTTGATTAATCGAATATAACATTCTTGTATGGATAGCTTCTCTGTTTTCCAGGATATCTCAACCCAAACACAATATTTACGAGCTGCCACATGTTCCTTTAATATGAGCAACATCCGACTACTATATCATAAAGCTTCTTATAGAGGAAATGGAAAACTGTTTTTCTGTTTTTCAAGATATTTCAACCAAATCTCAAACACATATCCTCACAGAAGCCGTATCAAATAAAGTCATCGATTTGTATAGAAGCTCTACTAAGCCATAGGGTATTTAATATTTGGCATGCCGCTTTTTTTCGTTTATGGTCATCAAATTCCCGGGAATGCGTCGAAAATGCATTTGCATGTGACACACTTTCCCGCATGGGGATTGTTTTTCCTATTGTCTTCCGATCCGCTGCCTATCAAATTACGCAAATGCAAAGGGCCTGCAGACTGTTTGGGCGGAAATCGGCAGCCACTTTGCCTGGCTGATGGCCAGGCTGATGGCTACCAAAGAGCATTCTGTGGTCGCTTCATCATGTTGAATAATTTATTTATTTATTTATTTATATTTGGTTGGTATTTGTTACAACATTTGCTACTCACACTTTTGAGCCAAACAGTTGCCAGCCCGCAGTTTGTTTTGTTAACTTCTTTTTTGTCTAAACTTTTATTTTTTTAAATAATTTTTTCTGCACAAAATTCACACAAAAAGCATTGACACTTGTGCCTGCGGCGCGTCTTTATATAAACGTTGCCTGTTTTTTAGTGGTTGTTGTTTTTGTTGTTGTTGCCGCTGGTGTCGGCTTTGAATTTGTGGCATGGAAAAGGCAACAGTGCGTATCGACAGCGGCGTCAGCGAGGGCGGTCTATTCGCTCACTGGCTCCTCTCTTTGTTTTTTTTATTTTTATTTTCTATTATAGTTTTTTTAGTTTTAGTTTTTTATTTTATTTTCTGTTGGTCTTTTTGGTTATTAACAACGCAATTAACTTGGCTCTGGGTTGGTCAACTCCCACGCAGCCGAACACTTGCGCAATTCCGCACGTTGATTATCCGCCAGTCTGAGGCAATATTCTGATATTCTTTAATCTAAAGCCGAGCAGTCAACATTTATTGCGTAAAGTTAGCCCACGTAGCCACTCGGCATCGAACCGTTGCGAACGCTTTGAGATCGTGTTTAATACTGAAGTTGGTTCAAGTTGTTTGGCGTCGCGAACGTCAAGGCTGCGCGCTTGTGGGAATGGAACAGCACAGTGGGCCGAGAGTGGCCCAAAAGTGCTTCAAATATATACTATTTAGATGTTTGCTTGGGAGCGTAAAACTGTAAGCTAATATTATCTAACTGCTTCATCTTCTTTGACTCGACAAATTGGGACAGTTAGATCAAATGTGTAATTAAATTAAATAACTATTTGTTTTAAGTTGGGATTTACTTGAAATATTCTGTTATATTTTTAAACATTATTTGGTCTATTGAATTTTGCATTTGAAAACAATACATTCAATAACCTTTTTACCCGATTTCAAGGGGTTCAGGTTATAAAAAAAATGTTTGATCGATAAAAATATTTTTGGTACTTTGAATATAAATAAAAAATATATTAAAAAAGTAATTGCTAATATAATATATAACATGGCTTCTTTTAAAAGTGGTAAAAATCACAGTTTCAAATAAAAAATTTGTGCTTGCAAAAGTGCAAAAGTTCACGAATTGAAACTCGATTTGTGAATCGAACCACCAACAATTTTTGTTAATTGCGCTTGAGAAAAGCTAAACAACATTATTTGTTGTTTATTTGAGAATTCAGCCAAGACTCCTCTCAGATCCACAACTTTTTAATCAATACTTATTATAATTAATTTGTTGACTACTATTCATTATGTTAATTATAACAGTCTTTTAATAGTTTCGAGGAACATATATTTATGTAATCGATTTTGTTTCAGTGTACGCATTCCACGTTTCAATTCCCGAACGTTTCAGCCGCAGCAACAAACAGAGCCAAGAATGTTTTGTATGGGAGTTGTTGTGGTGGTTGTTGTTGTGTTTATTGTTGTGGTTGTTGTGGTGTTTGTTGTTGTAATGGAGCTTTATGTGTGGCTATGCCGTTAGAATAGAAAGCTTTCTGGCATTACCGATAGGCGACTAGTCACAATATAAGGAGATAAATAAAGATCACATTGCACTGGCAGCTGCAATTGGCACTACTTCGGCAGCTGGTTATTCAGCACTTTTTGCCCAATGGCAACACTCTGACTCATGAGTGGCTACACTCGTTGTCGCTGGCCCAAGGTTAGGCCACAAGTGTGGGCCGTCAATATGCTTTGCATATGAATTATGGTTGTTCAAGCGATTAAAAGATTTACAGAGATATTGGCCAGGCGGCAGCTGTGGGTCGACTTGGGCTTGAGCTTGGCCATTTTGCTGGCCAATTTATGGGGACATTCACCACACAATACATTGTGGAAAGGCAATCCCCAGGCGCATGCGTGTAGCCGATGCAGCGATTCAGTCAGTCAGTCGTGGCGGCGGGCAGCGGCATTTTGCAGTTATTTTTCGCTGCTTTTCCAGCTGGCAGCGGCAGGTCGAAACAGGTTCACAATGGGGCAGACAATTGATTTTTCCTTGCCAATGCAATAAAAATGCGCCGCTGCCAGCGCAGAAACAACAACAACAACAACAAGAAAACTTTTTAACTTTGGCTTGGAACCAGAAACAACTTTTCGTTGTCGTTGTCGCTGAGGTTGTCGTGCCGTTGCCGGTTGTTGTTGTTGCTGTCGTTGCCATGACAAAAGAATGCGGCACTCGCCATCTAGTCTCAGTCCAAAGTCAAAATGTTATCTTAACTACGGCCACGATTTGGCCAGGCCGCGGCCAGGCCAGACCAGACCCCGACCAGGCGCAGGCACAGCCACAGCCACATAGTCACAGGCGCTCGCTGGCAAATGCCAAGTGCCGTTGCCTCTTGGCTATGGCTTTGGCTTTGGCAACAGAAACCCCCTCGCCCCGGGACCGCGCCACGTTTCGTGGTCGCCGGCGCTTAGGCATTGCAATTGAGAGCGGCAATTGGTAACACGGCAATGGGAACGACCTTTTGGCCAACTCAAACAACCAACAACCAACAAAAAACAAAAAAAAAAAAACTTTTAAATTTCAACCTGTCCCAATGATGTCTGCCTAATTTTGTGTCTGATTTCAATTTTCAATCCCACCGAGTGAATGCAATTCCAATTCTCTGAGCCGGCAAACTGCTCACAGACTGCATCTTTTAACACTAAAAATGTGTAAGATTTTGAAAATATAAGATGAGAACTTGTATAGACATATATCTGGTAGATCCCAAGAAATATATATACATATATATAGAACTAGCGGATATTCCCCGGCTTTGCCCGTTGCATGTTGTGTTATATTTGAAATATAACTTTTTTATCCGGTTTCCACCCGTGAAAAAATTAAGTCTGCCCCTTCTATCTTGCCATTTCTTGAAATTAAAAAAAGATTCATTTAAAATGATGTTATGCATTTTAGACATGCAACCATAAGGGAAGTTAAGAGGGTTCTATTTAATATCGAAATTATTTAAATATTAACTGAGTTCAATAGAGGAAATATATAATTTAAAAATAACTTTGCAGTTATCTATATTTATAGATATATAGATATTATGCCGTTTAAATATAAGCTGGATGCTTTATAAAATATATTTGTTGTGATATTCTATATATGCCCAAAACGTTCAGATAATAATGATAGAATAGTTTCAAAAATGCAATTATCTATATAATATCGAAAAAAATTTCAGATGAGCCTCATTTATAGTTAAAATTATTTATGGTTAAGTTTCACATACACCAAAAGAAAATTTTCGTATATCCGAAGAGTTATAGATATATTCGATTTGGTCTCAAATATCAAAATAAACCGAAAGTGCTTTATCACTTTTTAATTTTTCGAATATTTATCTTGAAAATTCGATAAATTATATTCTTAGTTAACATTTTTGCTATAATCAAATGATATCAAAACTGATTTATTTTTAAATTACTTTAAAAACTCCCAAAGTCCGTTCCACTTGAGTTGTAGAAAAAATCACAAAGTCTTTCTAGTGTTAAATTGAAGTAAAGAGGGCGGCCGGCCGGCCACAAATATAGAGGGAGAGAGAGCCACAAGGAGAGAAAGGGCGAGAGTGATAAAGGAGGGGGCTTCGTGCCTGATTGATTAGGCAGAAATTGTATTACTTTCAAGTGGCTGGGAGTGGTGCTGGGAACGGGAATGGGAATGGGACTGGGAGTGGGATTGCTGGCCATGTGCCAACCGAGAGCTAATAAAAAGACCAAATCAAAGGAAAAGCCAAAAGCAGGCCGCTGTATTTGGGCATTTGAACATTTGGGCATATTGGCAGGTTGCCCGACAGCAGCCTGACGCAGCTAATTCAATTAGTTGGATAATGGAAAAGGCTTGGGCCAGTTACCAGTTGGGAGAGTGTTCAAGGTGTGGTCTGTAATGGGACTCACCTGATGCGCTCCCGGGGACTGGGTGCGCTGCGTCGCATGCGGGATCGCAGCAGGCTGTTGAGCTCCTTCATGACATCGCTGCCCTTGCACTCCAGCTGGGCGAGCAGCTCCGCCTCGGTCTCGGCCTGATCGGCTTCGAGGTCAGCGCTCAGCTTGTGCAGATCGGAGCCGCTGCGACTGCGCATCAAGGCGGAGCGATCTATGGAGTCGACGCTGCTGTTCATATCAAAGTCCATCATCAGATCGTCGGAGCAGATGGAATCGCAGGGTGACAGTGTGTCCAGTGATTCGGCGCTCTCAAGCACCGCCCGGCGCACCGCGGCCGGCGTCCTCAGGCTGAGCTCTATGGCCTGCTGCAGAGCCGTACGTGCCTTGGACTGGCTCTTGAGCGAGCGCAGCGATCCGGTGGTATGTGTCTCCATCAATGTGGGCGTATCGGTGGCCAGCTCTGGTGCCTCACTGTTGCACAGCAGCGCCGGCTGATCGGCAATCTCGTCATCGATCAGATTACCGCAATCGGAGCCGAGCGAGAGGGAGTGGGAGGCGTGCGTGGGTGTGCCCGGCGAGACGGGACTGTGACTGGCCGGATCGAGCTCCAGCTCCAGCACTGGCGAAATATCATCAATGTCCACGTCATTGTCCTTCTGCTGCAGCTCCGCATTGAGCTTGTGCTTCTTGAGCTTGCCCGCCGCCTCCTCCGACTCCTCGGTGCTGCTGACCAAGCTGTCTGTGGGCGAGGTCTCGTCGTCCAGCAGCAGGCAGCTGCTGCTGGCCAGTGCCAGCTCTGCAAACTTGGATTCATTGAGCGCATTGTTAAAGGAGCGTGGACGCTCGCTGGTCAGGCGCATCACAACCGCCTCACGATTGTCCACAATGTGCATGTTGAGCAAGTGTTCTGGGCCAGCGGTGCTGACGCCGGGCTGGGGTGCCAGTTCCGTCATTGAAGCTGAAGAAAAGTAGAAGGAATTTTTAGTCTGGAGTTCGTACAGCATGTCTTTGGAGTGGGGGTGACCAGGCTTGAGCCTAGCTCAAGGGTTCCATAGAGAGCACTCTTTTTATGCCCTGTACTACCTAGACAATGGGTAAAAGCAAAGTATAATGATTTTATGTAAATGTAGGTAACAGACAGACATGGCTCAAGAGCTCGGATAACAAAGAGACGCTGCCTTTGAGGACACAAGAGTTTAATTTTTGAATGGTAATCAGGGCAAAATCTAACATAATGGTTCTGTAGAGGGAAGCCCTATATATATACCCTATATCACATGATTAAAGAAAGGGTATTATGACTTTGTGAAAAAACTTATAGCAGACAATATGACAGACATGCATCTCCGATCCCATCTGGACGATCTAGACAGGGTCTGTCAGTCTGTCTGTAGAGTAGAACTTTTTCCTTCAATTGATCGATAACTGGCGACGTTTGTCCAAAATCGATAAACATTGAATTTATGCCTCCCCCTTTTGAACATATCTCGCAGACTATAAGAGCTAGAGATGCCTAGAGATATTTGTTATAAAAGCTCCCGTCTAGTATGCACAGATCAAGAGCATTGATCTTATTAACTGGGTACAGGGTATCTTCCAGTGGGATATTCTCGTATGCAGTACTCTCCCCCAACTGTTTAACGATTTTTTCAAATACTTACAAAGTGTGCTGAACTGCATCTCCGTATTGATAAGACTCATGTCATCCAGACCCAGGGACATGTCCTCCTCCTTGTCCTCCAATTTGATGGGCGTTTGTGTGTCGCTGCTGGTGATGCTCATGCTGCTGCAATCCTTGGCCGCCAGAGACTCACCAGCCTGGCAGCGCCAGGACATGGAGGACGATTGGCTGTGGCTCAGCTGTTTGGCACTCTTCTCGGAGGTGGACGAGTCCAAATAGAGTTTCTCCTCGTCCACGCTCTCGCTATCATCAGAGCTGCTGGCTTTGGGCTTGGGCGGCGTCTCTGGAGTCGCGTCCTGATTCGGTCCAGCTGTCGCCTGTCGTCGCTCATAGCTCTCGCGGCTGAGCACTGTATTGGATCGAACGAGTCCGACCAGCGGCAGCGGCGTTGCCTGACTGTTATCCGTGGGCAGCTTGGGCAGCGCTAAGGGCTCCACAAAGGAATTGGATTCACTCGACGGTGGATCGTCTGCGTCGCGCACTTCGAAAGTGTGCCGACCGCTCATCACCATCTGCAGATTACGTGGGCGGCTGCGACTGCGCTTGGAGCTGGATGCACTGCCACCGGAGCTGCTGCCCGAGTCCACGGCCATATCCATGCTGGCTATGCCCGAATCGGCGCTTATCTCGCGGCTGCCCGAGAAGCCGCGACGCGTCGTATTGTTGGTCAACTGCTTGACACTCTTCTGATCCAGCTGCCGGGTGGGCTGTACGTGTATCGATGTCAACGGATGTTGCCGCGAAGTGCTGGCCACCTCCTTGGCTCGTGCGCCCGTCGCATGCGCGGGCACGGGCGACTGTACGCTGCTGCTGGGCGTGGTCGGCGTTGTCGCACTCAGGCTAATGGCCACCGGATACTCCGGACGCGGCAGGCTGACCGTTTGCAGCGTGAACTTGGCAAAACTAGCGGGCGTGGGACGCACTCTGCGAACGAAGGATTGCAATTGGTCAGGTTGTTCGATGTTGGATATACGAGATTCAGTTACTCACATGACATTTGCATGCATGTTTGCCAGATTGTTGTAGTTGTAGCGCGGCCGTGATGCGCCCGTTGCGTTGCCCTCATCCGGAATCTCGCCAAAGAACTGCCGTCGCTGATACTCGATGGTTGTGTTCTGGTTCAGATTGAACGTCAGCGTCTTTGGCTGAGCTATTTTCGGCTCCCCATCAATTGTGCGGCCCGCGTTTGCGCTCTTAGAGCGGCGTTTCACTGCGTTGAAGAGGGGTTGGGTCAGGGGGGAGAGGTGGAACATACATTGAGAGATGTGTCAAAGAGTTGCCTCCATTTGTTATGCCCTTGCAGCGGAGCATTGCAACTTAGGCACGAAATATGCAACGCATAGCTGACAATTTGAATTCTATAAGGCATCTACATATATTCCCGATCTGTCGAAACTATTTTCAGGCACTCTGCATGAACAAGTCTTTTTGTACATACGCTTATATGACTGAGTCGGCTGGATCGGACATCTATATCATTCGAGAGATTGCACGAAGATAATCTGAGTAAGCTCAGAAATTGGAAATAGGCCACTATATCAGATAGTTCTAAAGGGATCGAACCTCTGTCATATCATATCATATTCTACTATATAGTTCTAAAGAGAGGTCGGTCGAACTAAGATTTTTTGTGCTGATAATTTGTCAGTTTTCTATAATTTTCTTAAGCAATATGTCTGGACCTCATATAGATGCAATTGATTTTGATTTGATATAGATTTCTTGATTAAAAGTTGTATGTTTTTCAAGATGTCTTAATGCTGTGTTATCCACATGGATCAATGCTTCGGGAGATGAAAGACTCTTAAGAGTATACATGTATATATGCTATATCTGTGCAAGAGTATTTCAGCTTCGGCTTGCCGAGCAGAGAGATGAACTTTGTTGTTGTTGCCACTTACGATTGCTCACCAGCGCGTTGCCGGTGTTGTTGCCGTTGCCGTTGTTGTTGCTGCTGTTGCAGTTGTTGTTCTGGGCATTTGCGGCCGCTTCGTCGGTGTCTTCGCTGCCGCTTGTGGTTGTTGTGAGGCTTGCGGATGCGGGGCGTGGCACGGCGCCGCGATAGCCAAAACGTTTGCCAGCCGCACCTGTGCGATTGGACGCATTTGTCTTTTGAGCGGCAACGCCCACTTTCTCAAACTGAACGGGAGCAGCTGTGTAGAAAGAGGGGTTGAGGGGGTGATGAGGGGGTGGGTGGCATAGAAATGGAAGTTGAATGTGGCTGGCATGTTGACTTGTTATAAGGCAGCGGCAAATTGGCTCAAATTAAAAAGCCATAACACTTGCCAGGGCGCGCTCATTACTCACCAGCATTGCCATTGTCGTCCTTTGTGTCTGTCTGTGGCACCTCCCCGCTGCCGCCGCTGCCCTCAAGCAGTTTCTTGAACTTTTTGGGCGTACCATTGAGCTTCTTGCGAAAGCCAAAGGACATGGCGGTGCCTTTGGTGTGCGGCTGCTGCTGCTGCTGCTCGCCCAGCTCCAGCTGGGTGCTGCCATTGCCATTGTGGCGTCGGTTCGCCTTGCCGCCGTGCTTCTTGCTCTCCGTTTGGCCCTGTGGGTGGATGGGTTTGTTAGAAAAGCAGGTTAAGCAAGCGATTAAAATGAGTTGAAAAGCAAAAACGGGTCAACAGAGATGAGCAGCACAGACAATGGGGCACAGCCTGCCTGCCTGCTGCCACACAATACAAGACAATCACAAAATGGGGCTGGGTGGGGTTGATTGGGTGGTGGTGCAGTGGTTCAGTGTGCGTCTATGCAAATCTAACTACTCGAATGCATGACTCATGCAGCACAAAGCTGTCCGAACAGATACAAAAGTATCTACAATGTTGTGTAACTACAAAGAGTGTAACTCGCGTGTGTGTGTGGCACAGTCTTTACCATAATGACTGCCTCGACTTCCGCGTCAACTGCTGCGTCCTCCTCGATTGTGGCACGGCTGCGGGAATTGTCTCTCTGCTTTTGCTGCTCCTCTAATTGTGACGCGTTGTCATCGATGATGGCAACGTTTTCTTTGTGCGATTTCTTTATCTGTGGCTGCTGCTGTTGCTGCTGCTGCGGCTGCTGTTGCTGCTCGGTTTCTTCTACCTCGTGTGTGGCTAATGTGACGACGACGAGGTTGTCGCATTCATCCATGTTGCACGTCGGCTGCTGCAGAGGCACTCGCTAATGCCGCGAGTCTCCTGCTGCTGCGTTTTGGCGCTACTTGAATGCTGCTCGGTCGCCGTTTTGATACTTGCCACAAATGCCTGAGTCAATTTTGCCACCAATTGCGAGACGCTTAAACCAATGCTCATTACACGGCCGCAAAGCAAATTACGCCATTTATAATTGCACTTGAGGCAGGTGCACAAATACAGATACACCCTCTCACAGATACACACACACGCACTCACACACTGTGGGTATTTAACACCCACTGCCGTGCGGCAAGTTTTGAAGGTCCTTGAAAAAGTTTTCCTATGCTGCGAATTCTTGTTTTCACAATTGCTGCCACACGCTTTTGCCGCACTGCCACAAAGTTTGCAACATCTTTTTGCAATTAATATTTTATAATTTTCTCTCAACTTTTTGCTGTTTTATTTGTGATTTTTATTTTCTGTTAGTCCAATTTTCTTGAGTTTTTCACTTGTGAAATTGCAGCGCTCGGAAAATTGAATGGCCAAGCTGAAAAATTCTGGCAGGCTCTGGATCTCTCGGTTGAGTGTATGCCTTGTCCGCTGAAGCGGAGCGTGGCCCGATCATGCGCAAAACCACACGAAACAAGTGGCTGCATTAAGCTACAATTAGGGTGGTTTTTTCAGTGTGGCGCCATCTAGTACTCGTGTGTTTTTGCTTAGGGGTTGAATTGAATAATACTGTAAGTGCTAGTGCTGGGCAACGGTTTTTTAAATATCAAGAGGTAAACTAACTCAAAACAGGTGAGCATGCAATAGTCGTGCTTTACTAGAAGATAACCGAAACCTACTTTTGACCTGTCAGATTGATTGTATGATTGACTAACTGATTGACTCACTGATTGACTGACTGATTGAGTGCCTTATTGACTGACTGAAAGATTGAATGACTCGTTGACTGACTAATTGACTGATCAGTTAAGTGACTGACTGATTAACTGAATGACAGTTTGACTGACTGATTGATTGACCAGTTAAGTGACTGACTGATTTTATATTTGACTGATTGATTGGCTGACTGTCTGATTGACTCACTCCTTGAATTATTGATTGACTGATTGATTGGCTGTTTGTCTGATTGGCTAACTGATTAACTCACTTCATCAATTACTTATTGACTGACTGCTTAACTGTCTGATTGACTGACTAGTTGAATGACTGACTGATTATTTGACTCTTTGACTCTTTGACTGATTAACTGACTGATTTACTCACTGATATACTGACTGATTTATAAGAAGAACTGATATGTAAAAACGTACTGTCTGATTGACTAATGACGGATGGGTGATCAACGCACAGCCTTCATTCTCACAGTAATTGGCTGTTATGATGAATATAAGCACCAGGTTCGGCAGAATTATTACAGCAAAGGGAGAAATGATAGTCCAATTTCTATGTAAAAACTCATTAAGGAAGTTATTGGCGATTTAGGGAATTTTTTAGTCGAACATATGAATCTGATTTATACCAGTTCAGCTTAGTATATGTTCTTGTCCTCTGCTTTGCTTTAGTTCGAGAACCTTTCATAAACTTAAGAATGTTCTCAGATTAATGATATTAATCGTCAATATTTGTTCGAATCGAAGAACTGTCCACGGCTTATAAGCGTAAATTGTTATGGCGGATCGATAAAAATTCAGTAGCACTCACCTTATATGGCTCATGAATGGGCTGTTCAAGCGCGCTATCACTATCAGTCAGCTGCCAGGCTGCTGGGCTGCTGATGCCACTCGAGCTGTTATCTGCCGGGAATGGAGTTATGCTTTTCACTTGCTGCTCGTCGAGTGCTTGCGCCAGCTCGTGCAGCAAAAATTCCTGGCAAGTGGCATACGCGTTGCCTGTCAGCGTACTGCCAATAACATTCGCATTCGCATGGCCATCCAAATGATTATAGACAGACTCAATGTGCAGCAGAGCAGCTGTCTTCAGTGCTACAACATCCTCCTGCTGCTCCTTCAGCTGCTGCTGCTCCTTCAGCTGCTGCTGCGGCTGCTCGTGCTCTTGTCTGCGGCTTATGTGGTAATAAAATGTCGGCTCATCTGTTGGGGCTGTTGTTGTGGCTATATATTCATTACTCGCTGTCAGCTGTTGCCATATTTTGTGGGCCTGGGCCAAATCTTGGTGGGACAGGGCAATTGTCAGCACAGATTGATGTTGTGCTCGGGGGCTCGGGCACGTGGACTGCCGGGAGACACACTTGCCCATGGAGTCGACTCCAGATGGAGCATCTGCATTGGCGGTCTTGTGGGCGGTCTTCTCTGCCAATAGCTGGCGTTGACTTTGATTGCAATACGCTCACGTATCCCTTCTGACAGCTAATGCCTAATGCGCTGACTTCCGTCTCTCGATTCGCCTCTGTTTGCGTGTTTGCCAGCTTGTTTGTGGCGCCTCCGCTGCACTTGCCCCAGTTGCAGCGCCTGTCAAAATTAGTCGTAAACGCATGAGTGAGTGGGTTATCATATTAGCTGCTTGGCAGCAGCCAATGCGGCATATTGATATGCTGTGAGCGTAGCTGACATGCGGTTAGCCACTGAGGTGCTGTCTACACTGAGCGAAACTTTTGAGTGTCCTTATCGTGCACTTATATCTAAAGTGAATTCATCAAAAGCAACTTTTCTGGTTTTCATAAAATGCAGAGTAAAAACTAACTATTTCGATAAACCTAGCGGTATTCCACACTGAGCGAAGCTGCTTAAAAATAAATTAGATGGATTTTCAAGAGGTATTTATTTAAACTCAATTTTGAATTGTTTAAGAAAAGCTGCACGAATCAATCGAATATGAAAACTTTAAGCATTTCTTTATTAAAGCTCTTTTTAAGCTTTACAACCCTGTGATAAATATTAAAAATCCCGACTTGCCTTAAAGCTCAAAACTTTTAAGTGTTTCTTAATTAAAGCTCATTTTCAAACTTTATTTCTTTTGCGCTTCTTTTAAAATTGTATTATGTCTAAAACTACTATTAAATTAATATTTATTTTGAGTTCTTATAAATCATATAAATACGTAAAAAAAGAAATATTAAAAAGCAATTCGCATGCGTTGTCTCAGCTTCTCTTGTTTTCCTCTTTGCACAATAAGGTCGATAGCAATGCAAGTTTTAAATGTTTGTATTTCCAATTATATTTGATTTTCTTTAAGAAAATTTTAGAAATCGTTTAATATTCTCTGTTTTAGCTTAAAGCTCACAGATTTTAGCACTTTTCTATTGATGCTCTTATATTAGGGTTATAAATTTACTCGAGCATAGTTTATTGGCAATCTCTAAGCGCAAGTATATAATGTTGTAATCAATTTGAAGCTTTACCAAATTTTTTACAAACATTTTTTGCGAAATGTAAAAGCGCGCACTGCTCCACCCCCGATGGCTCGCAGCCCCGCCCGTCTTTGTCGATGCATTATGCGAGGCAACACGTTTTTTATTAAATTTTATTAGAGTGGCGCATGCACACGGACAGAAGCAGCTCCCAAAAGCACACCACAAGCAGCGGCAACAACACGCACACACACACACACTAACACACACACGCACACACATTGAGCGCGAGGCAAATGCAAGTGGAAGCCTTGGGGAGGTCGCAGCCTGATCCTGGCTGCTAGCTTTATGTCGCATTTGCCGCATAACAAAATTTACACCCACAGCGGTCGCTGGGGGTGGAGTTGGGTTGGGTGGTAGGGGAGTGTGTATTCCTGCTGCTGTTGCAGTGTTTATGCCTGCTTATGTCGTTTGGCTTACTCACATTTGCCACGCGGCTTTGTGCTGCATAAATTTCAGCGGCACACGCCCCTTTGCTGCTCGACTTGCCCCACCCCCCTTCGCAACTGTGCTACGTGTGGCCCTTTGTATTAAGTGCCAAGTTTTTATTTGCCGCGTACTATTCAACATAATGAGGCAATTCTGTAGTTGGTTCTTTGTTGTGTGGCGCCGCGCTTTGCACTCAGTTGTTGCATTTGCAGTTGCAGTTGCAGTTGCAGTTGCAATTTAAGCGGCCGCGCTTTAATGCCGCACTTTGTATGCGAGCAAATCCTTGAGTTCCGATTGGGCCGCATATGTAAATTGAGCATCGCAGTAATTATGCGCATAAATAAGGCGAAAGCGTGCCTCCAACTTGCAACATCAACCTGCAACTTGGGCGCTGGCTTAATCGACGTGGATGCGACAGATAACAACAGGCCGGGCCGGCCCTGGCCTGGCAGGACGTGTGGCACGTAGCTCATGCATAAGCATAACAATGCCCATTACCATTACCATTACCATTACCATTCGGATGCTTGTGCACCAAATCGATGTGGCATGCAACAGCTGCACGCTTACAATTTTGGGCCAACAGCCAACAGACGCCGCCATGCATTTTAAAATTGTGGCCTAAATGAACGGCGACTAGAATGCGACTACTTGCCACGTGGCCAGCTGCAGTAAATGCCACAATGCCACAAAAGGACTTTAGCTGTCGGCCAAAGTTCTGCTCTGATTAAAATACGCGGCCAACAGTTGCTGACAGTTTTAATACAAAGGCGTCAAAATAAAAGTTGCCAAAGATGGACGCCAACTTTTTGCATTTCGCATGCAAATTGACAACAACAACAACAACGCGAACAACAACTACAGTAAATACTCATTGCAGCTGAAATGCGCTCAAGGTGGCAGCCCGCGGCCAGGCCAAATAGCGGGACCCGTCCGACCCGGCGTTGCGTGGTTAAAAGCAATTGCATTTTGGTAATTGAACAAGTCAACGCTTAATTATTGTACTACACTGAAAGGCAACCATAACTGTCTGGCTGCCTGCCACAAAATGGGGCGCGGCAAAAGGGTTGAGGCTGAGGCTTGCGGCAACAGTCGAACGAAATTCTCATTTATTCAAGCGCACGCGAAACGGCCGGTAAGCGGGGAGGGCGGGTGGTGTGGGTGTTGGGGACGAAAAGTACATTTCCATGGCGTGGAAAATGTGCAAAAATGAGCAATTGCTTTTGTAAACGTTTGTTGTTCCTTTTTATAGTTGTTTGCTGAAGTTGTTGTTGCTGTTGTTGCTGATGGGCCGCACATGTTGTGGTACTTGCTGCAGTCATAATACCCAATATCTGGCCGCTAAAGGGTATATCACAAGTGTGTGCGGGTGCATATGGAAATGCGAACAAGGTAGAGTGGTTCAATTCAAGTGACAATGGAGGACCACGCGGCGCGTTTAAACTGATCATAGCGCAACATTTGGCTAGCTAATCTATGCTAAGGCATTTTTAGTAAATATGTGCAGAGAAATTACTTGAAGTTCTAAAGTGACCATGGAGGACATTTGCTGTAACTGACTTAGAAGGGTAGATAACAAGAAAGGAAGTAGGCATGCTAAATGTGAGGCATAAAGTCAGAGTTCTAGATCATCAAAATAAAAGATAATAATCAAAACTATAAAAGAGGCCATGGAGAACGTACATAAAATATTTTATAATACAGGAAACAAAAAAAGACAACTTTTTTAAGTAACCATGGAGGAGATGCAAAAATGTAAAAAATATCCCAGTGTATGTGACAATGGAGAATTTATAAATATATTCAATATAATAGTTATGATTGAGACCATGAATGACGTCTTCCAAAACTGACTATGGATAGTAGATAACAAGTCAGTAAGTTAGCCAGTTGTGTTTGGCGCATTAAGGCAGAGTCAAAGGAGGACGTGTATAAGTGTTTTATACATTGCATCAAATTAATAGGATGCACCTAAAAAAATATGAAAAATGTTTGATGAAATGAGCACACACAAAAGCTGTAAAAAATATCACAGCTTAAGTGAACATGGAGAATTTATAAAAAGCTCTAGAGTTCAATAAAAGGGTGCCAGAGAAAAGTGTGCGGATATTAAATTGAACAAACAGTTCTCCATGGTCACTTAAACAATTTCCAAGATATTTCCAAAGAAAGAGTCAAGAGAAGCTAGCAAAAAAAATTATAAAAAACTTAAACAGCTTCTACAGGATATCTACAAGTCCATCAGCTTGATGTGCTGCTCTTCTTCTGCTGTCTGTTTGCGCTTGATGCGTTTTAATTGACGGCTCATTTTGGCCCGGTGCACACACACACGCACACGCACACAGACACATTTCAAGCCACAATTCCGCAAATGTATTGCTTAAAGCAATTGCTTCGGCGGCTTTAAATTTTTCTCCTCTCTTTTTTGCCTAGTTAAAAACTGATCTATTTCCGTTATTGGGAAAGTTTCAGTATAAATGGCGGCTGGTCCAAAGCCTCAATGAATATATTTCTTGGCACACACACAGACACAAGCACACACAGCATAAACAACAACAAAGTCGGACACTTGATAGGTTTTTGTGCCGCTTTGGGATTGTTGTGCTGTCCCTCCCCCCACCTCCGCCTCCGTCGCACAAAGCAACGCCCTCGCGCACTATTGGCCATAAATCAATTTTTCAAAAATGACACTGGGAAATGGAAAAAGTAAGCTCAAAGCTGTGCGAATATTGAAAGCTACCGAACGCGCCGCTCTCATATCATCCACTGCACGCGCCCGCTTCCGCACCCGTGCCCGCGCCCGCCCCCTTCTCCTGCCTCCATGGGCAGCCAATAGACGCCATATAAAAGCCGCTGCTCATATGGGCGTGTGCACATACATGCACAGAGCTCTGATAAACTCATCGCATAAAAAATGTATATTTTTACTTGCATTTTGTGTGCTTCTTCTTTCTGTATTTCCTTTTTTTGGCCAGCAAATCTTTGCAGCTGGCGTTGAAAAGTTTTGTCGACGGGTTTGTCATCATAAATTTTAATATTTCCTACTCTTTTTCTTTTTGGTTTGTTTTTTGTTTATTCGGACTCTGTATCTGACGCAACACAGGCAGCACAGGCAAAGGATGCAGAGCTTCGCCTGGAAACGTGAAAATGAGCACGTTAATAGCAAAAAGCAGCTGCAGCTCAGGCCAAAGGCAATGCCAGCGGCAAAGTAGTTGCCGGCGCACGAGGCGTATGCGCAATGCAGCTGCAGGAGCAGAATCTGAAACAGAAACCGAAACCGAAACCGAAACTGGAACAGCCAAGTGGCTAAAACTGCATCCAAATGCCGTGAGATGAATGCATGCTGATGAGTGCTGTGCGAACTGTGGGAATATGAATGAGCACAGTCGAGCGAATTGAATGCTATTGATAGTCCAATGAATCATCCTAATGTGCTGTGTGTGTGCGCGTGTGTGTGCGCGTGTGTGTGTGGCTCTTGATATATGCTGCACACATCAATTTGTATAGAAATTGAAAAAATTGTTTGCCAAGAACTAAGTTTGGGTATACAAAGAAATTACTTTTACTTTTACTTTTTAAGCAAACAGCTTTACGAAATGTGAGCTGCAGATGCATTTCTCGTTGTTAAATAACATTCAGATCTTCATAACTGGCAGAACTTTGTCAAAACTTTGCACGAGTCTTTAAAAGTCTGGCAACATTATTCTTGGTGAAAATTCATGTAAAATGATACCCTCAAATATCCTATATAGACATAGGTCAATATTTCCAACACCCATATCTTGGCCAAATCTAATCCGATTTTCACGAGGCTTGGCTCTTTTTTTGTGGTTTGGCTTCTAGATCAATCTGGCATCTAATTCTGGCAACATTATTCCTCTTCAAAATTTATGTAAAAATGGTACAATCAAATATCCTATACATGCATTCATATTAAGACTTACGATGAAAGCATGAAAAAAAACCTGTAGAACTTACTGGATTTCATGAGAATTGCATAGAGAGGCAAAAGTTTATTTTAATTTGCAACACAGTGGGACATCAGGTTGCTTTGACTTTTGCACATACAACCAATACACACATACTTACACACCCACACGAACTCACCCACCCACACACACACACACACAGACCGCCGTCTTTTGAATACACGCTAAACTCAAATTCATATTTATACATTTATTTATTTGTTGTTTTTTTTTTGTGGCAAAACAGAAAATAGCTCCAAACGATGTGACAACAAATTTTGAAGCCTGTTCAAATAAATACTTGTCATATTTTTGTTCGACTTAAGACTTGCAGTTATTTAAGGCATTTCGAAGGTTTTGCATATCTTTGAATTGGAAACGTCTGGCTTGCAGCACTGACAATTTGGCAACTGACTTGAAATGAATTCATTTAGTCGAATGCACTTAATAACATGTTGCCAGTCGATAATTGACATTCGACTGTCAACTGAACTTCCGGCAATTGTTAAAATTAACAAGCAGAGCCTCTTCATTTGCATGTTGTGAATAACTGAGTAGCCCGTTGGCCAAGCTATGAATGCATCTGAATGTTGCGGCCGTTGCAAGTAGATCAGCAGCAGCCGATTGAGGAGAGGTGTGTGTGTATGTGTGTGTCAAGGCGAAGACCTTTTCATTATTATATTTCAGTTGCGTTTACTTAATTATTACTTTGCTTTATAGTTGTTGTTGCTGTGCTCTTTGGCAATGTTTTAAGGCTTTTTGTTTACGACTCGCCAGCAGAGCGTGCAAACTACACGCAATTGACAAGCTCGTAATCAAGCCGCATAATTGCAAATTGTTGTTGCCATGGCGCCTAATGTTGTTGTTAACGTTGTTGTTGTTGTCGCAGCTCTTTGGCAGCTAAACTCCAGACGCTTGTGTTTGCCAATTTGCGTACTTTGAAAATTCTTTATATAAACAACAGCAGCAAAGCGCGCCATATAGGTATATATATATATACATACCTATATATATACCTATATACACATAATAATTACGCAATTGACAGCTTTTGAGCCCGACCAGCGTCCCCCTCCCCCAAAGACGCCTTTAACTCTACTTCAGCAGCAGCTGCGACTTGTTAATATTCATAATAATTTCCACTGTTTTTCAACGTGAATGGAATTTTAATTTGAAAGTTCTTCAAATGTTTTGTGGCGCTCGTTTTATTCTCGTAGTTTTGCTGAAACCGGAACACATCAATACGAATCACAAGTATTTTGATTTATTTATCGCATGAATCATAATTATGCCCAACAAAATGTAACTAGATTTTCGCATATAATTTATAAAAATATTATTGATTTTCCGTTGCCGAACTGGCAAATGCCAGTATATGGCCATAAGCTGACATATCATATATCATACATCATGCATATCATGTATGTACGCAAGAGTTAAGATCTCGTTTGTCAAAGTCAACGTTTTTTGGTTTCTTTATTTAAGTGAACTAGAGCTGTTTTTCTATTTGTTAAACTTTCAGGTATCTGGGCATTTACACTCGTTTGGCATTCGCATTGTTTTTTTTTGCTAAGCTCAAGTTTCTTCTACTGGCCCACGCGTCGTATGCTTAACATTTTGCTGATTTGCCCAATTTATATGCCCGGCGGGCATTTGATCGCATTCTTATTTGATGCGATGCGAGAAACCAAAGTGAATGGCCAAGTCATGATTGAGCCATGTGTGTTAGCGCCTTGGCATGCAAATGCCGTTATTGTTTGGCGGCGGTATTACGAGCACACATGGCATAAAAGACCGCCCAGATATTTAATATGCATAACTGTGCGGGAAAATGTATTTGTGCACGCGTCAACTGAAGCGCGAACCAGCAACAAATGCAGCAACGACGACAACAACAACAGCAACAACAACAACAACAGCAACAACAAGAGACTAGCCATAAATATATGCATTATATATATAGTATACTAGCGGCAATTAACCGGCTTTGCCCGCACCCAAGTTTCTTGCTTCACATGTTAGGCATCACTTTTCACCCATTTTCCACGCGAGCGAAATTGGCGTCCAACCGAATTGAATCGAATGGGATTTTGCCAAGAGTGTAAAACACTTCTCAAGTAAGTTTTCATAAAGATCTTAGAAAATAAGTTTAAAGTTTTGCATACAAACAGTTATCGAAAATTTTCCACACACCCAAAACCTCATTTTAGCGTGCATTTACATAAGATAAGATAACTAACGTAAGCATTTCAGCCTCGTAGCTCTTGGGTTTCCGCCTTTGCATTCATCATCAATCAATCAATTATTTTATAGACATATTTAAAAGGGTATATGCATTCGGTTGTATGTGGGTGCTCTTAGAGATCTAATACAATTTGTCTGGCTGGCAGCTTGCGGCATCAGCTGGAAATTTATTTGGCAGACGAGCGATGCAAATTTGCTTAAGCAAACCCACCTTTCGCTGGTTTCTTCTCTCTTCGCTTATCTTATCACCGACTTCTTCTTTTGTTTGTTGCGCGTAATTGAATTGGAAGCTCACGGGCGCTTGTTGAATTCGTCGCGTGGACTCACAGACAAATGCACTTTGTCTCTTCTCGTTTTTTTTTTTTTTTTTTATAGATTTTTTCCTGCTTTTAATGGACTACACTTTTTTATTCATTTGCCGCGTCTGACATTGATTGAAGCCTCTGGCATTATTTTCTTTTTATCGTCGTTTTATCACGTTTTATAACTTTTTTTCTTCAGTCAACTGACTCGCTCTGGCGTCATATTTGTTATTATTATTAGCCAAACGCGTCAACGGCAACTGACGGAGCACTACGCATATGGCGAGCACCTTAGAATTGATCGCCAAGCCAAGTGAGAAAGCTCCCACTGAGAGCTTTGAGCAACTGGTGAACAGTTGAGCTTTTTTAAGCGCTCGAGAGCGTGAGCTTTTGACAGTTAAGCTGATAATGCAAGTGTTTATGTATGTTTACAGTGTCTAATAAAAGTAAGCACCTCCCAAACAAGCGCCAAGTCATGTGAGAAAGCTGCCCGAGAAAGCTTTGAACAGCAGGTGAGCAGTTGAGGTTGAGCTTTTCTCAGCTAAGCTGATAATGCTAGTGCTTATGTTTATTAACAGTCTCCTACAAATGTAAACACCTCACAAACGGGCACCAAGTCATGTGAGAAACTTACCAGCGAAAGCTTTGATCAGCAGCTAAGCTGATAATGCCAGTGATTGTGATGTTTACAGTGTCTCACAAAAGTTAGCACCTCACTAACAAGCATGACTATGTGGGAGAGCAGCACGCGAAAGCTTTTCTGAGCAGTTGTTTAGTTGAACCTTTTCTTGGGTCTAACTAACCAGTGTTTATCACTCTGTACAGTGTCCATAAAAAGTTGGCGCACACACTTTGTTGCACATACATCAATATGCATAACTGTTGCAGCTATTAAAATGGAATTTTCTTATCAGGGCACTGGCAAACCGAATGGAATTCAACACGATGAACCGGCGGCAGGGAAGGTGCAAAATCGCCCGACCCAAACGCTGGTTGGCCAGGGGAACTAGTTGCCCGCCAAATGGCTTGGCCTGGGCATGGGCCTGGGCCTGGGGCTGGACCGGGCTTGGCAGGGCGTCAAGTGCCATAAAGAGCAACACTTGCAACCCAAAAACTAACTAAAGTGCAGGTCCTTGCCATGTGCCGCAGCTAGCTACCCGTTGTTGCCACCCATTTGGCAGAGCGCTCATCTTTCAAAGGCGTCCTATTGCGTAAGTGTTGCTGTTTGCTGTTATTGCTGTGCATACACGCGCGCGCACACACACACACACTCGCACAAACAGACGTGTGTACACAGAGATCTAAAAAGAAAACACAAAGAAAAACATTTACAAAACTTCCATTTCCGTTTTATATGGGCTCGCTGGGTAACACAAGCCCGCCCCTCTCTAAGCGGTGCAGCCCCCTCCCTTATGCCTTTAATGCCAACTGACAGTGCCAGGTTCCCATCAGCCTTACACATTGCCCCGCCCCTCCTCGTCTTCCGCACAGCATCAGGCATGCGGGGAAATTGAAAAAAGATAGTTGCACATAGTTAGATGAACCAAATGGTAGCCCACCAGACAGCAGCAATCCTTAACGCCCACAGACCCCCGCCCCCCTCCGCCTCCGCATCCCTTTTCCTTTGGCCCGCCGAGCAAAAAAAGGGCAACCTGAAACGTTACAAAGGTAAGAAAAATGCTGTTGGGGCGACGGAAGTGCGCATTGTACTAGTTGAGCAGCTAAATCAAATGATAAAATGAAGTTGTAGTCCTTAAGCGCGCGACCGCGAGTCCAACAGGACAGCAGGACAACTGCCAACTGCCAACAGGCCACAGTCAGTGGCCAACAGCAACAGGAGCTGCTGTTGCCGCTGTGGCATGCAACCTTGGGACACAAACAGCCGACGACGAGCTTTTCACCACACTGTGTGCAAAAAACTCAAAGAAAAGCGCTCAAATTTTGAGTGCTTTTCAGAATGCTTGGATTTTCGCTCTTATCACAAGTTCGTGTGTTATGGCGGGATCTGTTTGTTATATATATAAATGTAAATATAAATAGATAACAGAGGGTTTGTGTAGCCGAAGAGTAAAAAAACATACACTTTTTAAAAATATGCAATTGATTCAGGGTATAAAAAGGATTTTCTTTGAAGAATTCCTCCCCTAACCGAAGCTTCCTATATCTATATAGTTTAAAAGATCCAATGTTGATAACATTATGCATTTATATACCTATAAAGGTCCAATGTTGATCCAATCATGCAGATATCTACATCTTAGATATATATGTACAATGAAGCTCGTAATTCCTGAGTTTGGGCCAGATATCTTGAAAAACATTATAATTATCCATATAAAAAACTATTTTACAAATATCTAGAAAACTTTATAAATAAATGAACAAGGCTATTTTTTTTTTTTTGAAATTTCTTAGCTTTATTTTAATTTTCCTGTTATTTATTATAAAAACAACTTAAATTAAATTTATTAGAAAATTTACAATACTACTTAGTCTACGGTGACTATCTGGGAGATCGATTGGATGAGACCTCCGCAATCTCCTCCGCGTTCGGACTCCTCGCCAGTCGATTTGGATGGTGTTTCTCAGTCGCGTTATGTAGTTTGCAGTCTGTTTGTTTATGACGTCCCCGACTTTGGGCACTCCTAGGTCATTTTCCAAATCGGAAGTTCGCATATACCAGGGGGCACCAGACAGATTTGCTTGAAACACCCTGATTTTCGTAAGGCGCGATTTTGCAGCAATACCGTAAACTTGAATACCTTATCGCCAGGCAGGAGCTAGGCTGCTTTTCAGGGCTCCTGTGATACTTGAGATGTGTTAAACGCCTGTCTAAGTGCACCCCTAAGTAGCTGTTGTGGTGCGTCAATATTGATCGCGCAGGAAGACTCCCGGACATATATCCCAGCGGAGCGTAAAGGTCACATTGGCACATTTATTTAAATTAATGCCAATGCTCCAGCCCACATTTCAAATTTGTGGAGGGCTGCAGGACGTCACTAGCTTCATAGACACATTCATTTCTTGATAAGATGGCTGTGTCATCTGCAAATGTGGCGATGGTCCTGTGGATCCACGAGTTCAATTGTAGAGCCAGTGGGCATGTCATGTGTATAGAGTGTATAGAGGGCCCCCAGACTCCCTGCGGAGTCGTTCCCCTAAAGCAGTACTGGTACTTCAGCTGCTCCACCAGCTGCTCCACCGCTCCGTTTGGGTATGCAATGAAATTTTTGATTTTTGTTCGTCTGCCTGTTTTTTTTCAAAAATTTTGGATTTCCAAACAAAATCAAAAAAACGTGGTATGCAAGTCGATTCCAGAGATCGGTACGAGTTCAAAAAGGTATAACTTTCCAAAATCGGACCATTTTTAGCCGAATTATCGAAAAAAAACGAAAAATCTTCAAAATTATAACGGCATTTTTTCGCGTTTTTTAAATCGCTGTATCTCGGCCAAATAAGCCCCGATCTTGGAAAGATTGGTCTCGTTCGACTCGTGGTCACAGCCATTTTCAGCCAACATCGTAATTTTTGCAAAAAACATAGTAGTTTTTCTCAAATTGGGCCATTCTTAGAATTCAGATTTTTTGGTGTCAATCGATAGTCGGGATCCGTACGAGAAGAAAGAGTATATCATTTCGAAATCGGACAAGGAAATCGGGCTAAAAAAAGCGAAAAAACTTAAATTCTTTTCAGCCTGTTGAAGTTGTAAATATCGTAAGATACTTTTTGGGCTGGCCTTCCAATTAACCCTTGTGCTTGCGCCCAATCATACCACTGGCGCTGACTAATTAATTTTAATTCTTATCAATTTAATAGGTACTCTAATTGCTTAAATAATGCGTGTTGCCTATTTACTGGAATATTTTGAAACATGTGCGAGAGACGAAAATTTCCCTCATCACACATCATTAGCGCTCGATCAAAATAGATGTCAAATAAAATTTGTTAATTTATCCAAAAATATTTCGCAGACCCATTCACGTACATTGTCAACGCGAATTTGGCTAAAATTATCAGCTTCTTATCAATTGCTAGCATCAATAGGCAATCGATCTTTCGACCCAATATATTTTCGCACATTTATCGAGCTGTGACGTCACACCAATCGCAGCTAATCGGAAAATGTATACTTGAGTAAAGAGCTCTTATTTTGTATACACAATTTGAACTGGATCTTTATCAGCATTGGCTGATACACACCCAGCACACACACAAGTGGCTGGAACAGTATTTAATAAGCAATTAATTGGTAAAAAGTGTTCGGGCACCGGAATTAGCACTCACAAATAGTTCGACATGTATACGGCGGTAAAATGTTGAAATGCCGCACAACTTCACACCTTACCGTACGCATTACCGTTCAGCTATTCGGATAATCAATCAATTAGAGCTCTAAAATCAGCTAATTTGCATTGTGTCAATTGCTACACAAACAATTCGCCAATTCGAACCCCTTTTCCCAGGCGCATCCCTTAATGGCTTGAACAATGGGTGTCCATTAAACGTGTTATTGATAGATTACTGCATTATACAGATTGCATTTTGTGGCAGTTGCACCATCAGCTGCTTGCCACAGTGCCACAGCGACTAAAACACACAGCGTATCCTCGATGTGCCTGACGCGAGCAGCTCAGCATAAACACTGACAGCAAAGAGAGAGAGAGGGACACAGTGAGAGAGAGAGAGTGAGAGCAAAGAGTGCGCCGATCAACAACGAGGGTGGCTCTCGCAAGTAATGCTCGCTCTTTCGTACTCACGTGCTCTCCAAAAAAAGCCGTTGCATGCTTTTTGTATACCCTATACTTACATTGAACAAACAGACTATAGGCAAGAGTCGAATTTAGCATAAAAACACTTTAATAAAATTAAGAAGCGCTGACAAGCATTACAAATACGTTGGGGTACTCGTTATATAGATATAACAAATAAATTTACAAATCGCACATTTCTGTACAACAATATAGCGCATACCCGAAATCCTGCTGCAGGGTATGCTCAAGTCGACGATTAACATTGCTACATAACGCATAACGCTCTCGCTCTGTTTCGAAACGTGTTGTTGCTGTTTTCGTTGTTGCGCTTGTTTTTGTTGTTGTTGTATTTGTTGCTGCTGCTGCTGTTTGCGTTTGCTCTCTGTTTAAAAACGTGCTGCAGCAGGAACAGTAAATCATTACGCTCAGAAACGTGCGACCGGAAAGACAGCGTCGATCGACTCTTAATACCGCAAAACCGTTCGCCCCAAGTTCAAGTTTGCCGAAAACGACGCGACGCGCGCGTTGTTGCTATCAAAGTCCTAAAAAGTATTAAAAAAAAAAATCATTAAAATTATAAAAAAAGAAATTGTAAAAGATATACGGACCGATATATACGTATATACGTCAGAAACGTTGTGTTGTTTTTGCTATTATTGTTGTGGCTGCTACTTCTGCCATTTTCTGTGTGTGTGTGTGTGGTTGTCTTGTTTCGGCCGTTCCCGTTGCCGACATCTCCGATCGTCGTTTTGGTCGTCTGTCTGTTGTTTTTATCGACGCGTTTCTTTCGGAATGTTTTTTTTTGCGTACATGTGACGCAGCCGTCGCCGCGATTTGTACGAAAAGCGATTTGTTTGTTGTGTCATTCGCCCGCCCCGACCCCCGGTCGGCCCTTTTTCCAGATCGGTCAATGAAGTTGTGCCGCACACAGTGGAAAATTTCCGAAACACAGAACTGAAGAGCAGCTGGTAAAATTGGCTGCAGCCCATCATCAAAGTCGTAGGTAAAAGAGCTCTTAAAGTACGTGTCAATTATAATATTCATTTACGACTCGGCCTCTCTGGCTGCTATTTTTGTGCCAATTTTAAAAATTGGAATATTTTTGTTCAACTTTTCGACTTGTGGCTATGACGCTCTGAAATGTGTCAAACCCCAGACAAGCAATTTATGTTTTGTACTTGAAATATCCAAAAACAAATGAAATACCTAAAATACAGTTAAATATCAGCTGACAATTTAGTGTTTAAAAACGCCTCTTGTTTTTATTTTCCTCTTTTAAAAATTCCACTCCCCTATACCATATCATGTTCTGTTTTGCTTGATAGCCAACAAATTTTATTTAAAAAAAAATTAAATCTAAATTATTTGTGCTGCTTAATAAATATCTCACATAAAAACAAATCACGCTCGAAAATGCAGCATGTAATTACTCAACTCACAGACTCTCTCCCGCTCTCTTTCCTTGTGACTCTTTAATTCTATCTCTTTGAAACTGGTTCTGCATAGTTTGGTCCATTCACTATTTATTTCTTACATTTCTTTCATTTCATTTCATCTTTTTGTTTAACTGCTCAAAGCCAAGTAAACATAGTTTACGTTTTTGCTCTTTACTCCTGCTCTGCTTCTACCATCTCTCTCGCTCGCTCATTCTCTTGCGCACTATGCTAAACTCGTCTGCTGTTTTATGCAAAATACTGTAACAATAGCAACAACAACTCCTTTGTGCCGCAGCGACGTGCACGTCGACGTCGACGTCAACGTTATCAACACCGTTAAAGTTTTGTAGCTCTTTAAGCTTTCGGACTGCACGTGAATTTCGCGGCTTGCAGCATTGTTGTTGCTGCTGCTGTTGTTACGACTGCCGCGGCATGCAAATTCAAGTGTATGCTAGACGGGGCGCACCCTTTCTTGGTGCTGTCTCCCTTTGCTACACACACTCACCCGTGCGTTCTCTTTCTTGTTCCCTCTGCGGTTACAGCTGTGTGAGTAATGGCTCAATAATTTGGCTGCCTTAACCTACACACACACACACACACACACACGCCTTGCAGCCCTTTTGTGACCCTCTCACAACACAATGGTAACGAGAATTTGTTTATCTTGACTTGTGTGTAGTTTTTTTTTGTTCTTTGCTGATATTTAACCAAAATGTATCATGACGCCTAAAGTTGATTGTTGTTATTGTTGCTGTTGTTGCTGCTGTTGTTGTTGTTGCTGCAGTTTTGTTTACACAAGTTGTGGGTAGCTCATGTTTTGTTTCTCAGACTAGTATTTATTGTTCCTGTGCACGGTTCACGGAATTTGCAACGGCTGCAATTTAAAGTATGCGCGAGTATGTTATAACAAATGAGAGTGTGCCTCTTTGTGCTAGCCAGGTGTCGGAGCGGGCGGGGGTAGACATTTCTGTTAAGCATGAGTAGCATGAGTATACGTAATGCAATACTCAAATATACTCATACTTAATACTCATGTGTTTAATACGAATACGAGATTTATTAGTTTATTTCCCATGTAAACAATCAAAACTCTCTCGTTAACCTAGGCGCACAGTCAAAACAAAAGCTCACCAGTAAATGCCTATTAATCATTACAGTTCCTGAAATTTCTGAAACAATTACGAAAAGAGTAAAAGTGATTGCCACATATTAAATTTCATTTAGATGATACAATATCTGTCTGATATATGTAGCTATTAAGCAAGCAGTTCGTTTTTCCCCTCTTTCTTTTTAATCAAAACTCGATAAGAGCAAATTCTTTATCACAAAACAATTAGTCATTGGCCCAATGGACGCAGCTATTCCATGCCTTGTCTCCAGTGAACCCCTAAAACGAAACATCAAGTTAAGATATTGTGCAATGTACGAAGTATTTCCTGAAATTATTAATCATATGCATGAAACACTTGAGAACCATATTTGTAGTTTTTTTTTCTATTATTTTTTTAATAGATATATTTTGTCGGGGTTTCGGCCAGATCAGAAGCGTGAAATTCGCTTATCTTAAGGGAAGAAGAAGCAGCAGCAGCAGCAGGGGAATCAATATCGAAATAAACGTACTTTGACAAGGGTATTGATTACGCCGCATTTGCCGTTAGTCAGAGCCCGGTCCCGTCGATCGTCTGTCAGTTGTATCAGTTGGTCATTAGTCGGTCGCCAATAGTCCAATTAGAGTTCTCTGTTCTCCGATTGTTGTTGTTGTTGTTGTTGTTGTTGCTAGTTTTGTTTATTTGCAGTTGGTTTGTCGAATCGCAATTGGTTTTTCATTCGAACACTCATGTGGCTGGCAAATCGTTCAAGCGTAAGGTTTTCTAAACGTTTTTTTTATGTTTCTTTTATTGTTGTTGTTGTTTGTATTTTTATTTGATCACTTCGAGTGCAGTTAGTTGGCAAAGTGCTATGAACCCTTAGCCACATTCGCCTGCGTGGCCATAAATCCTTCATAGAGTCGAACAAGCGCCAAGTGTTTGCCATTCAAGTGGAAATGGAAACTACTTTCAACTGCGACTGCGGCTAGGTCAACAACAACAAGGCACAATTCGATTGCATAATTTATGGAACAAGAATTGTGCAAGTGCGAGGATTGCTTGAGATATAGGCGAAAATATAGCACGACGGCAATATGCCGTCAAAATGAATATAAAACTCAGATTCAAGCAGTTCAAATAGGTTTTCACGGGAGAGCAAACATCTCTGCTAATACATAGTACAGTTATCGCTCGCTAAAGAAAACGAAACTGTTCAAAAGACAGTTCATATCTGGATGACATTGAATGAATATTAAAGTTATATATTTCATTTACTTAGCGACGTTTGTGCTTTAAGGGTTGAAAGGATTTTAGAGGCCGACTTTTTGGAATAATTTTTATTTTTTTTTTAATAGAATATACCTACATATACATATATACTTGGTATATAACTGTATGTACTTGAGTATATTTAATAAATTAGTGATCGCTTTGATCAATTAAACAATAGGTTGACAAGAATATATTAATAGAATATATACCATGTCCATATCTTCGTATAGATCTTTAAGCTACAAACAACAGGGTGGCACGAGTCCAGCTGTTCTGAAAATACGCATTAAATCTTCTAGCCGGAAATGATAAAGCGATTTACGACAGTTTAGTAATAAAATGATAAGCAAAGCAGAATATGCGAACTATACTCACAGTGCCTGGCGCTATACCGAGGGCGATGTCCAGATGCCTCATAATGAAAAATTTTCTAAGAAGTTTCAAACAAGAATCATAACATATAAGAACTGAAAGAGAGCTAACGCATATAGAATACCTCATGAACATGCCAAACTATTTATTTGACTCGCCGCTAGCTTAAAGTACTCATTTGTATTCATAGTGCAGTAGAGGTACTCGTTTGGCAGCCCTCGGCGCAACGACTCTTTTTATTCTCCTTATACTTTGCGCTTGCTGATATGACGAGCTGTCTGGCGGGCAACAAAGTTCTTTTTTTGGCAAACCGCAAATCAAATTTCGTCTAATCGCAGTTTTTTGTTGTTTTTTTTACGAACAAGATTTAGGGCTATACTTGGACAATACCTTTCAAATTATGGATTATTATTATTTTTTATGAGAATAATATATGGGGCACACTTCAATACGAATAATTGCCCGGCGTCGACATTAATGCCCCAGTAGCTGGAGTATATTATAATTCATGTTTTCTAAACTGACATTTTTACGGTGGCGTTTTTTATTACGGGTTTTTGGAGGTGCGCGAAACAGGAAATACGCTTCATGGCAGTGCAACCCCCTTTCTCTATTGCTCTCTCTCTCTCGCTCGTTCGCTCGCTCGAATACTTCAAGTTCAATGTCAGTTGCAGTGGCTGTGGCAGCTGCCTGCTGCAAACTGTTGCAATTTGTAAACCGGTTCTTGGGAGGTGCATCCGGAGTCGGTCATGATCGGCAACTGCAACAATTCGAGTTGGCAGCTGTTTGAGCGGCACATCATTTAACAAATGATCTATAGAACCGGCTGGATCTGGAGTTGTTTATCACTTCATTATTTCGCCGGTCGATAATGGCGAGCACGTGTCATATATCAAGATATGCCACTTGAAGTTCTGCCCAGGAATGCCTGCTGATAAGTCGATTATTAAAACTATAATTATGTTGCCATTTATTGTAATCAAACTAAGGTACTTAATTATAGCCCAAACCCACTCCATGTGAGTGGACTACGTAAAAGCAGCTTATCATTTCTTACGATAGCTGAAACCTTTGTCATGATATCGATTAATATCGATTTTGAGATACGTTTTTTAAGGAATAGCTTGCAAATACAACAAACATTCGTATAGTATACATAGATTAGGAATACTTCACTTTTTGGTTATCTTTTTTTCTATTCCTCCAAAATTGAATGAAACTGGTAGAGCTTTGGTATATACAAACTAACTTGTGTATGTCATACTGTATGTCATATTTAAAGCGGTGAAAATTGCATAAAGATCGGATCTTAAGCACCGAGTTTTATCAAGAATGCATTTCCTAGACATAGAGTAGGGCGAAGGGGAGAAGCGACACAGCCACGCGTATGTCTGTATGTAAGTTTCTATGAAAGGAATCTTGTGTGTTAGTAAAAGCAGCTTGGCGCTAGGTTCAGGGTATCTTCTAGTCGGGCACTCTTAATGAGAACACTTCTATTTGTATTATAAAGAGATTTTTTTTCGCTAATAAAATTAATTTGGATGCACTTGTGTATAACAGGAATCTTGACTAAGTCTTGAC